CCTTTCCCCCAGTCTTTTTCGTCTGTCGTTTCACTAGGTCATCAAGTAAAGGATAAGGGTTTGGGAGTTTAGTTAGGAAATCAAATAATGGGAAGGTAATTCTGATTTGACTGCAGTAGTTCCGGCTTACTTGCTACCGTAGAAGTTCGTCCTTGTTTGGATGGATATATATTTTGCCCTATGATACTAGGAAGCCGTAAGCTTTGTTATCTTACATGCCAACCAAATAAGGGGTAAAATTCGATATGAATGGGAGATAGAAGAAAAAGATATAAAAAAGAAAATCCCTTAAGCCGCCTGTAAATAAACCATTGCCCCGGCCCATAACTAGAAACCCCGCCCCAATCCCAAAATTGAAGTTAAGAAAAGGAACTTAAAGACCATTAGTAGTATCAGGGAAGAACGGGTGAAGCGAATAAACGGGGGCAACGCTTTTCTCAGAGTCAAAAATAAGGAAGTTCTGAAGTGGCTGCTCTCTTTGGCTGAGCACATTGATGGCGTCCTGGGCCAGGCTGCCGCCTAAGAACGCTGCTACGGGGTTAATTTCGCTCCCAACATTTTGTAGGAATGATCGCAGGACCGCGGCTGTAAGTGTTGAAGGATCGAGTTGAAGCTCTAGATGGCGTTCATTCGCTAGACGAGTATAGTTTTCCAGGTCTTGACGGGAAAAGGATGGCGGAACACCGTGTTGGCGCTCAAAATCCCACAGAGCCCGGAGGCAGGTGAGCAAGGGTGTGACTTGCTTGCGTTTCCGGGGTAGGCGGGTAAATTCCTCTGGCAAGGGGGAGGTGTTTGCCAGCAGTAGAGGAGTGTATGTCTCTCGCTTGGTGACCATCTCGATCGTCTTGTCGTTTTCGACCTTAGTAGTGACTTCTAGCACGGTGCGTGTAGGTGTCTCGTTTGTCTGCGGGGCCACGTTTGATTTCTCACGCTCAATCACAAAGGTATGGCTGATCAGGTCAGCAAAGATGAAGCCATAGAAACCGTGGACGCCAGCCATGTATGAAGAACGATTGGCAACGCGGCAGGCAGCATTGATGGTAGAGAAAGTTTCAAAGTCAAGATCCGTGGCGATGACAAGGTCGAACTGTTCGAAGTATACTGGGGGTTTCAGTTTGATGCTGGAGGGGTCGACGATGAGCTTGACTCTAGGATTCAGTTGGCGAATTTGTGGTGCAGCAGCCTCGACTCTCTGTGACAGACAGCTTTAGTGATTGGGGACCTCTGCGTTTTAAGTCAGTACATACACTTTGGTTGAGGTTTTCCTCTGTAACGAGGAACTGTCCACCGAGATCCTCCTCGCGCACAACCCCATCGTCAGCGATAGTTAGAGTGCCGATTCCTGCGAGCACGAGGTTCTTCGCAATCTCGTTCCCGAGAGCCTTGAGAGTGACCAGGAGGATGTTCGCGTTGCGTATTCTGGTCGATAACACATATCAGCTTTAAATGCTATTCAGACAAGGTATCGCTGGTCCTCGCCTCACCGTTCCTGCGCCTTCATGCCCCAGAGCCGGATCTGTCTATCGTAGAGTGCGATTTCATCTAGTCACACAATGTTAATGCCAGGCTGTATACGTAGAAGAGGAAGGACATGAGCTGTCAGCTACTCGCAAGACTCACCAGCACTGATCCCACTGTTTCCATTGGTTGCCATTGTCTCATGGGTAGCCATTTTCAAAACTGCTCCAGCACGCCTAAGCAAGCACCGCAACTCCACCAAGCGAGAGAGCTCGTCTAGCAGCTTGTCGAGGGTTGAACCTGTGAGCTGTTGTTGCGAGGCAGGAAAGCATTATTATTAGATTAAATAAATGATGATTAAAGCCAAAAAAGAAAAAAGAAAAGAAGCTCTGATTATGTCATCTATCGCTTACTTAATATCATCCATCACGTGGCAACGGCGGGTCCCCCTTGAACCGTGCGCCCTTTTAACCTTCTTGCGCTAGTCCTGAAACAACCTAGTGTCTGATGACTAAGGCCCCCACTCTCTCCCGGGTTTCTCCATCGCCGAAACGGGCGAGTTTCAGCGCTTTTCGTCGTCCTTCGTTTTTAATAATTTATTATTATAAATTTCTTGTGTCCTTTTTATATAAAAAAGTAACTTCTTGCTTGTCGACGTCGAACTTTCAACAACCGCCGGTTTCTCTTTTCTTTTTCCGCTGTTTTGCTTATTTCTTCTTCTCCTGCCTGCCTGCGATAATAATATAATCATAATCAGAGTACTCCGTAGTCCCCGAGCGAGGAGAGTCAAAGAAGAGGCGGCTTGGCCTGCAGCTTTTTTCCCTCAGCTTTCCTGGAGCAGCATCCCACGGAACGGCCAGCTCGTCCTTCGGTTCCCGCGTCTACGGAATAGTCAGCAGAGCGTAAGGAAGAAGGAAGAAGAGGACGTTAGTGCGTGGATAACCCGCTCGACACACAACTCGCACTCGCACTTGCGTCCGCGGCAAGGCAGCGTCCAGGGTTGATTGTCTGTCTGGCCGTTAAAAATCCTCCCTACCGATTCCTAGCCATGGTGAGCAACACCCCTCTCTCGCCCCGGAACTGGTCAACCTGTTCTCTTGTTGCGTCGACCGGGCCTGTGTCCAGTTACGGCTGTGTCTGTCCTGTTCACTAAGCCAAACTCGCACACACGCACACACCACACACACTCACACTATACTGACGGGCGTTTATCTAGTCGAACAACCCTCCACCGCCATCCTTTGACCGGGACTCTTCTCACGACCTGACGAGCTTCCAGACCATCGCCGCAAGAATCCGGCAGTTGAGAGATATCATCTCCGAAATGGACGAGGACCGGAGTTTCTTCCTGCATGCCCTGGACCGCTCTCTGCAAGAGTACAACACCGCAGATTCGACCGTCGACCCCCAGGCCATCAGTAACCCTTCTTCGGAACCGCTTCCTACCCTGAGCCAGACTCTACAACGACACGTTATCTCGCAGAGGGAGGCTCGGAGACAAGCCAGACAGGCACAGCAGCAGCAGCAACAGCAGCAACAGCAGCAGCCTCCTCCACCTCCACCACCGCCGCCACGCCCTCCACTGCAGAGACAGGAGTCTCTCGCCTCGTTGGCTTCCCTGCAGCGTGCAGAGCGTCAGTTCCGGCAGGCAATCGCCAGTATTGGGGCGGTAGAGTCGACACCACGGCAGCCTGAACGGGCACCTGCCAGATCCCCACCCATGGACTCGATGTCAGACCACCGCCAGTCCAAGCGCCGAAAAATCGACGCTGACGATAGCAGAGATACCACCAAGGGGTTCAGCTACAGCCACTATGGCCAGGTCACCTCGGTGCCGCTGGAAATGGAAGTCCATAGCTGCAAGGGAGGCAGTGCCGAACCCGACAGACGAGGAAACTCCCCGGACCATATTCTGGTCAATGATGGTGTCGCCTACAGGGCACAGGGCGGTTTCTGCAACATCGTCCTTAAGCACCGTGGCGAAATACCTTTCTCCCTGAAGAAGCTGATCATCAAGACACCCAAGAGCGGATGCCACGACGAGACGAAGTACGTCTATCAAGCTCCAGTACTTTTTTATTTTACTTTTTTAGTTTACTAACCTAGATACAAATATGTAGTGTCCGAGAAGGAACAGTGAGTATAGCCATGGACCCTGACTCACGCTTCCTTCGCTCGGTAGCCAGCTGTACCGCCGATTCCATGCCTGGGTTCCCATCCCGCCGGCCTCGCCGTCGGAACGAACAGTTATCCCCCTTCACAGCAGCGGCCATGGGGAACACTAGACGACCAGAGACTTCAGCCTCAATCCTTCGTGCCCGTATGCTCCGAACCCGCGCCAGCCAGCAGCCGTACCAAGCATTCGACTACCCGTTCGGCGGCATTGACGTCGAAGACAAATCCGATGATGAATCAACCCAGCTGGACGCCGCCCGCGACCAGCTGGGCCTTTCTGACCCCGAGCCCTCCAATTCGCGCGACAGTTCCCCGAACCACGATGGCAGCGACAGCGAGAGCAGTGACGGCATATCTGGTGTGGCCGAGGCACTGGCCCAGAACCTAGATAGCCGACAACGCCAATTACTTGAGGCCCTCGGCGTTCGTGTGCCGTATATGCAGACTAGACCATCGCATCGGCACCGAGCACTCTCGCCCACGACCGTCTTTGCTCGGCCAGCTGCTGAGACAGGACAAAACCAGGAGTCCGATACCATGCAGCCTGTCGCTAGATTTGCGATCGAACACGAGAGAGCCGCGGTACAGATCAGATTCAATCCTCCAGTGTATGTCTCTCTCTCTTCTTTAAACCTATGACATGTTTCTTTCTAACTCGATATAGGTCTGCACGATACATCCTTATCAAGATGTGGGCTCCTTACAACCCCGGCCGGATGGATATTGAGAGCATCATTGCCCATGGCTTTGCCGGGCCACGCTTCTTCCCTTCGCAGGAGCCGAGATAGCCCCCTTTACCCGTCCATCTTCTCCACTTAATAATGTGCATCTTTTCTACTTTTTCTTCCATCCCTTACCAACATGGGCTACCTACTTACCTCTATCATGTCTGATATCAATGATCATCAACTCTACGTCTATTCCCCATTTTTCTGATACTAACGATGCACATATACATGCACATCTCTATACATATGTCAGGCGCAAGGCGTGTAGAAGCGGAATCAATGGAAATCAATAAATGGCCCCCCCTTTTTCTCTTCATAAAGACAGGTTAATAAAGTCAAATGAAATAAATACAGGGAATAAAGAGGAACGGATTAAATTCTGTAAAACTGCTTGACTCTAGCTAGAATGCAGGCCAAATAAAAAAGAAGCTCATCGCTGGCATTGAAAGGGGGAGAAAGAAATCCATCCATCCATCCATCCCATAACGTAACAAACATGACATAAACTATCCGCCGTGATCCTTTCTGGTTTCTTCTTTGGCGTCTGTTTTAGGTTCCCGATCCATATCCATCTATTAGTTACTAAGTTCCGTTAAAGAATCTCGCTTCAATCGCTTGCGAACGCACAGCACAGTAACATTAGATCTGGTATCTGTAGTTAGGGCTGAGATCGCCCAAGTCGCCATCTTCCTGGTCCAAAGCCTGGGTTGGAGCACCCTGAGCATCCTTCTTCTTGTTACGGCTTAGGATGAGGAAGAGGTACAGCACTGAGGAGACGACGGCCAGACACAGGAAGCCAATTGATATGCTGTGTCCCGGCTTGAACTGCGGAGCGTCTTTCTCAAGGAAGCTGTATGTAGCTATGATTCCACCGACTAGAATAACAGTTAGTACGTCAAGTATGTTTGATGAGTGGTAATTATGGATGGTGGCTTACTGTTTCCGAATCCGATCTGCCATCCGGTTCCGATGGCTCGGCGCTTATGACCAGACAGGTTCATTGCGTACCAGCAGATAATGATTGGCATGGCGCTGTAAGTGCCGCATGTGATGAGGAAGAGAGCACCGTACTGGATGTGTCTGTTTTCTTTGCCGTGGACGGTGAGAAGCATGGAGAAACCGGCAATAGCAAAGGCTATGGGCAGAGTAGCGAATGAGACGCGGTGGGCGATGCGGTCTGAGACGTAGGCCATCAACATGGCAAAGACGAATGCTACGGCCCATGGAGGGATGGAGTAGAGCTGGGTCTCAATTGCTGCGAAGAGTTTAGCTGGTTAATGTCTTTTTTCAGGGGTAAAAATGTCGGTGATTTAGGTCTAGACTCACGTCCATAGCCGTAGTTTTTGATAATGGTGGGAGCAAAGTAAGCGTAGCCTATGATTGATTGTTAGCCGCAGGTATAACGGTGATGGTAGGATAGGGATATCATACTGTAGGCTGGAACGATCATGCCGAGATACATGAATCCACCGATCAGGACCTTGGCTGTAAACCCCAGGTTAGTATAGAAGCAGTTGGATGATGGGTAACTAGATCGGTATGACTCACGATCACTAACGATGGAGATGACGTCCTTGAAGGTGACTTTGGCGTCGACACCGGCTTTACCGACGTCCTTTGCAAGCTTGGCCTTAATGAACTCACGCTCCTCCTCGGTCAACCACTTGACGTCTTCAGGGAAATCGGGGATGAGGAAGAACCAGATGACAGCAACGACGCAGGTGAAGACACCCTCGAGGATGAACAGCCATCTCCAGCCATTGTAGCCACGCAGACCACCCATCTTGCCGATACCACTAGCAAGCAGGCCTCCAAAGGCACCGGCCAGGGTAGTAGAGCTGAAGAAGAAGGAGAATCGCTTCTGAGCTTCAGATCGCTTGTACCACATGCCCATCAAGTAGAAGCCTGTCCAAGTCAGAATGTGTATATATATACCTAATAGTTATAATTGAGGCATGGCAGTACTTACAGCCGGGGAACATGCCGGTCTCGGCAAGACCGAGGAAGAAGCGAGTCGCGAGGATGCCGGCATAGTTGGTCGTGATGCCCTGGAGACAGGTAATGAGGCCGAATGCAAACATGCAAAGGGAGACTGTAGTAAGATGCTTGTTAGTCAAACCCGTCCTTGTTCACTCGGCTCGGGGTAATTGATAAATAGTTTAACGGGTTTCTAGGGGCCGAACGCACGCCAGACATGAGGCTTGAACTTCTTCAGCAGCAGGTTTGACGGAATCTATCCGCCAGTCAGCTCACTCTTCCGGATTGTTTTAATTTCTCATCTATCACTTTGCTCTCCGTCGTACCTCGAACAGGACGTAAGGGATAAAGAAGATGGTCAAGGCCGTGTTGTACTGCGTGCCCGAGGTGATGCCCAGGTCCTTCTTGAGGCCGAAGATGACGGCGTTACCGATATTCACTCTGCATGCGCACCCAGCGTTAGTTAACTAGTTAGTGACCATCACAATGAAGTGAATGAGAACAAAGGAAGAAGAAACAGTGAAGTGAGAGAGAGACACAGGCGGGCATGTTACCTGTCTAGAAACGCGAGCAGGTAGAGGATGCTGAGCATGGGCAAGATGTAGAGGTCTATCTTTGCCATGAGCTTGCGCTCGGTGGTGTTCTTGAGCTGCGGGAGCTCGCTGTCCTGCTCGATAGAGAGGTCGGGGGAGACATCTGCTTCTACAGAGGGAGTCAGCAGGCCGGCAAGCAGCAAGGATAGAGATAGAGACCCCGAAACTGACCTGCCTTGACGCCCATGATGGCGACTTGAAGCCGGAGACGCAGTTAAAGAGAGAGTCGCGTGGAGGGCGAAGTTTTGAGTGTGATCTTCAGCCGGCGGGACAGGACAGTCAGTTTAAGTACTTAACTAGTTACTCTCAGTCGGAAGAGGAGAACCAGGTCGCAAGGGAGACCCCGGCGAGTTCGTTATCTGAGCTGGCCCGTCACTGTCCTGCTGGCTGTCCTGCTGGCTGCTGCTGGTCTCTATGCTGGTCTTTATGCTGGTCTTTATACTGGAGGTCGAGGGCTGGCTTTGGCCGACGGAGGGGAGAGAGAGTCCACCTGCTGGGCGCGCTTGGGTTGCCGAATAAAAGAGAGAGACAGCTCGTATCGAGTAGACTGGTTAGTTAGTTAAATATGGGGAGAGAGGGCTAAGAAGATGGAGAGAAAAGGAGAAGACGAGGCCTGGTGGCGGTTATAAAGACCGTCCGTTGTACTCCGTAGTGAATAATTCAATGATGAGAGCCTGGATGTTTCCTCCTGTCACTCACTCCGTCGCATCCCAGTCGCACGGGAAAAGCCTTCACTCTCGACTTACAACCTAAGTTACTTACAACCTTACAGCCTACAACGAGCTCTCGCTGATTTCAACCCCGACCAGACCAGACCAGGAAGGACATCAAACTTCAGATTCTCCATCTTTTCATCTCCACATGTTCTGGAAGAAAAAGAGAAGAAGCAGCAAAAGGCCCCTTTGGCGGGCCTGCGATTGGCTGTCCCTGCTGGAGACGCTGGGGACTGGACAGGCGGACGTGGAGACGGGGCGCGCAGGACCTCCGGCAGCGGGTTCAAGTCCAGGGAGCGTTTACGGAGTACACCTACTTAGAGTGAGTGACAGCAGTGAGTGAGTGACAGTGAGTGACACATGGGTCGAGCAGCGCAGAGGAAGAGGAGGGAGGGCAGATGGAGACGGCAGGGTGCAGCAGCCAGACAGAGACAGAGAGGGACCCTTGACGGATGCCGGATGGGATGCCTGTCTATTGTTACGGAGTATACTTGCTGTAGATGCGGCAAGGATGGCGGCAGCGACACACTGTATAGAGAAGGACAAGAAGAGTGTAGACCGGAGTAACTAGCAGAGGGTGACAAGGGGCGGCGGACGGACGGAAGTCGACATGATGGACATGGAGCTCTTAAAATCAATACGAGAGGGAGCCCAGCGTCGGGGGCTGGGATATTCGCCGATGCAACAGGACAGGCCCGTCTGTGTCTAACCTTTTTACTCCGCGTGTTTGTTTCCGTGGATAGGTTACGATCTTGCCGAAGAGTTTAAAAAGAGTGAAATCAAATCATAAGAGCGCATGCTATTAATGCTAGAGTGCCACAGATGGAGAGAGGTAGTTGACAGAAAAAGAAGAATAATAATGAGACCGTTAGTGACTGGCCTGGACGATGAGGACGCTGGCGTCGATGCCGTAGGCCTTCCCTGCCATCGCCTCGCCCAGGACGCCAATCGCCTTCTTTGCCTCATGGCCAAACTCGGGGGAGGCCGAAGCAGAGGCAGCGGAGGAGGAAGACGGCCGGGGTGCCACAGAGGGAGAACCTGTTGCTGCTGCTGCTGCTGCTGCGGCCGGTGCTGATGCACTATTCGTGGTCATGGCCAAGCTGTTGCGGCCGACGACGACTAGGTTGCCGTTGCTGCTGCTGGTGCTCCGGGCCAGGTCCTGGGCGGCTGTTTCACGGGTGGTGGCCAGCAGTGCGTTGCACGACGACGATGCACAATCGACCGTCTGGAACACGACGCGAGGACGAAGCTCGGGGGGCACAGAGTCGCGGATCGACCGGTAGAAAGTCTCGTCGGCGTCCTTCTCCTGTTGTTGCTGCGGCGTCGGCGCATCGTTGATGACATTCATATATGCAATAGTCGCAGTGATGGATGAGTTGTTAGCCAGTTGAAGAACAAGCCGCAACGCAAACTGGTCGTCTGGACCGCCAAAATAAGGCATGAAGATGTGATGGCCGCTGTCGGGAGATGGACTCATGGCAAGATCATTCGTTCGATACGTGTTGTGTCCGCTGAACGTTCGTGATATCTCGCCTGGCTTGGGCCGTGCTAGTCCGGCACCCCCGAACCCCTTGTTGATAAAGATACCAACATTACTCCTCGAGTTCTTCAGGATGTTGAAGATGAACGAGCTGTGGGGGCCGGTAGAGAACTTCTCGCTCTTGTCGTCAAGCAGCGGGATCTGTCTCTCGCTCATGCCTCCCGTCTCACTCCACGGTACCAGCACCAGGTCGGAGGCACAGTCGCGAGCCTTGTTGACCAGCGTCTCCGCATAGGCGTGCTCGGGCGCTATCACCACGCCCCCGGAAACTGCCACTTTGTACAGCTGGCCAAAGGTGCGGAAGGCGTTGAGGATCGGGTCACTGAAGCTGTAGTTGGAGTCCTGCACCTCAGACACCTTCATCACACTGGAGTCTCGATCAGTCAGCTCGACCAGGCGCACTGCATGAACCTCGATCGGCCTGCTGCTGGCTCTTCTCGCACTCTCGGGTCGTCTTCCTTCTTCTTCTTCTTCTGCCTCCTCGCCATCGTTATTATTAGTATTGGTATGGGCATGATGGGTTCGAGAGGCGACTGGGTCCCGTCCGTCTCCAGCTCCAAGCAACGATACGAAGGTGAAGAGACTTGGCAGGCTGTCTAGCCTTAGGTATATCATCAGCTTGCGGACAGACGCGCCCTGTGACTTTTGTCGGCTAATGCTGTCTGCGCCGCTGTACGGGTCATGCTCGGAGTCAAGAACGTTTCCTTCCCAATCGATCTCGCCGCGGCGCCAGCGCTCGACCTTGATCTGGTACGAGGGAGGGTACAGGTAGGACACTACTGGAGTCGTCACAAAGGTTGTCACCAGCGCCATCACTACGAAGATGGTGAACGTCCTCGGGCTCAGGATCTTGGCCTGGAGTCCAATGTTCTACCGGTAACCAAACAATACAATTAGCATCGTCTCGGCATAACCAGAGTATATACTTCAAAGAAAAAAAAAAAGGGGTTACTTACCAGGACGATGAGCTCGACCAGACCCTTACAACTCATAAGCACACCAATGGTCAAGCTCTCCCTCCACAGCAGTCCGTTCAATCTCGACGCAACCATACCACCCGTCACTTTTGCAATAAGAGCAATGAAGATAACGCCAAACACATACCCCCATACTGTTCCAGAATCCAACAGTCCAATATTGGTATTCAAACCCGAAAGAGCAAAATACAACGGCAGGAAAAGAGCACCAATCACATCCTCAATCTTCTCCGTCAGCTTGATAGCAAACCCTCCATCATGAGGACATATCAGACCAATCATGAAACCGCCAAAGATGGCATGGACACCGATGATCTGGGTAAAAAATGCGGCTGAAAGGACTAACAGCAGCGTGAGAGTAACAACCGACTGGTTGGGGCCGTCATGCAGACTGCCGGTGCGTCTCAGGTACCAGAGAAACACGGGGCGGACGGCAAACACAAGCACCAAGGTGAAACCGACGCAGGTCAGTAACACCCATAGGGCTGTCAGGCCCGTGCTGGCGTTGACCAGGGCTACACAGAGTGCCAGCAGGATCCAGCCAACTACATCGTTGCCCACGCCAGCAGAGAGCACGATGACTCCGACTCTGGTGCTGAGAAGATCCAGCTCAGTCAGTATACGGCATAGCACCGGGAATGCCTGTAAATTTTTGTTAGCAATGGCTCATTTATAGCCTCATTTTCTCTCCGTTAGAACCCACCGTAATCGCCATGGCAATGCCGATGAATAGCAAATAAGTTCCAAACCCGATGGGCGCCAGGCCAGGCTCCTGCCGAAACGCATGGTACAAACCGTATGCGATTGCACAACCCAGGCCAAACGGCAGCAACATTCCCGCCGCAGAGACGCTGGCGGCCACTCTCCAGTTGCTTATCAGCGATCTGAGATCCGTCTCAACGCCAATCATGAACAGGTACAGCACCAGTCCTAGATTCGCCACCAGGTTGAGATTGGGGATAGAGGCATCGGGGAAGATGGTCTCGCGGAACCCGGGTATGCGGCCCATGACTGAAGGGCCGAGCAGGATGCCGCCTAGGACTTCTGAGATAACTCGTGGCTGGCGCATCCGCGAGAGAGGGATATGTATCAGTCGACAGAAGATGATGATCAGGCCAGCCTATAGAACATGTCAGTCTACACGCATAGCTCTACGACTTCAACTCTCCCAGTAGAAGTAAAATATCTACCTGAATGATGAAGATAACCAGCGGGTTCTTGGAGTCATAGTGAGTCGGATTCGCCTTGTCGAAGATGCCTCCCTGCGGCGACGCCCGGTGCGTAGAGGTAGGTGAAGCCACCGCTGCAGCGGCCACCAACGAGCCAGTCACCGAAGTCATCTTTACGACACAGCGCAGCTTCAAACACTTCTCTCCGACAGCCAGAAGAGCAAGAAAGACGCAGCAGCTGGACGAAAGAGAGCAGCTCTTCTAACAAAGGGGGGGAGCGGTCCAGCAGCTAACTATTTATTTAACCTGGCAGTCGCTTTTTCAGCTGCCTGAGAGCAACCAAAAAAAAACGACTTTCACCACCCGGTCGACGTCATTGATTGACTAGTTATTGCCCAGGGAGAGCCTTGCATGTCTCGTCTAGTTCGCTCACTCAATTAGTTCGGCCAGGGTGGTACGGTACGGCTTGTCTTGGGGATTCCTTCAGCGCTTGAGCCGTTGCTTGGTGCTGTTGGTGTTATATTCCGGTCAGTCCCAAGGCCACCCCCCCGGCCCCGAAAGGCCCATCTCTTTATCGAACGCTCGCCAGCGGTTCCATGGTTAAAGCCACGACTTGGCTCGAAGTGTGTTTTAGTTATGCAGCCTGCAGACGCCATGTGGTTCAGGTCACACTTCGCATGGCAGAGAGAACGAGTCTCGGGTCTCACAGCATAGCATGGCATAGCATGGCATGGCATGGACTGGGCTGGTTGATATCAAGTTAACTAGCCCGCTAGGTCGAACTGTCTAGCTTGCGCGGGGGTTTCAGGTCGACGGGGAAGAAAGGCTGCGCTTCCGCTGGACGTCATTATTCTCGTGCTGGACCGTAGTTTAGCTGAGATGAAGATGGAGCTGGCTGGCTGGTCAAAGAGACGGCGCTGGCCGGTGTTTCTTTTTGTCTTCTTTCTTTCCTTGCCGCTGGGAGAGATAAGCGTCTTGGTGCTGGCCGGGATACGGGAGGGTCTAACACGAGAGCGGTAGTGCAAGCCGAGCTGGAGGTCTTAAAAGGAGCTGGCGAAGGTAGATAAGAGATCAGATGGACAGACGGTGATGGTGAAAATAGACGTTGATAGTGATGGTGATGGTGGTGATGGCGGTGGTTTGATAAAAGAGATCGGCGTCGTGCATGGTCAGGCCACTGTGGAGCGAGATGGAGAAGATGGAGCTCTGGAGTACTTCGGATACTTCCTAGCTACATGCCTACACTGCTGTCTGTGATGGAATGTCTGTCTATGAATGGATGGTTGGAATGTGATTATTTGGGCTATATAGGGTATTCTAACATGGGAGTTACTTCTCATCAGTCGTTGCCTTGCCCCAGGCAGACTCAAAGTTGATCTCCTCGACATCAGCGCCAGCTCCAGCTCCAGCTCCAGCTCCAGCTTCGTCTTCGGCTTCTACGTCTCTCATCTCGATCTTCGACACCTTCTCTGCCTTCTCTGACAGTGGTACAACGACAAAGGAACCGCCTACCGAACCCCCCGGTGACGTTGTCCCTTCAAGCCCAAAGTTACTGCTGTACACCACGGCCGCAAAGGCCTCGAGTTCCCGCACCCCTTCCTCCATGGCTGAAAGATATTCGTTGGGCGGATTCGAGCCCTGGCCGATAGTATGTGCCTGACGGGAAACGACCGCTAGAATCGTAGCCAGCTTCACCCGCGGGTTTGGAGGTGGCTGTTGGCTATCTGACGGCACAACGGTAGCTGAAGACGAGAACAGATTTGCCGGACTTGCTTCCGGTGCTTGTGTAGCAGGGACTGTGGGCGGCTTCTTGAAGGCGTCGATAGCACATTTGTGGTCGATAAGGTAGGAGAAGGCTTCGTTGTTGAGCAGGGAAAGAATATGCGTGAACTGAGGTGACTCGATAAGGTCGGCTGTCTCGTCGAGCAGATGTCGCAGGTTGGATGCTGTCTGCGGCGAGACTTCTTCAGACGATAGCAGCACACCAGACTCTCGTAGCACGTAGTCTTCCTGCTCGACGGCCGGCAGTAGGTATGGCAGCCACTGCTTCACCCGTCTTTCTTCGCTCGTGGCTCCCTCGACCTTTTTGCGTACTTCAAGCGTCAGCTCCGAGAGCCTTTCCTGCGTTATGTCCTCTCGCGGGTTAAGCGGTCCAAAGACTTCGACGACGGCTTCTTCGACTCTTTCCATCAAGTCTTTCCATCCGCGGTGTAGCAGCCACCAGCTAAAGGTAAGGTATCGACGGTTGGTCTCGAAGTCGTTTCCAAACGCATTGTCACCGTCGTTCTCTTCCAGGCTTATTATAGCTGGATCGGCTTGTGGGGAGGCAAGTGATATTACACTGGACAGGTAGTTCCGTCGACCCAACAGGTTGAGTTGGATGCGTGTGAGCAAGGTTAGCAGTGAGAGTGTATATAGAAGAGTGAACGATCGCGTTAAAGCTGTGAACACCGGTTAGCAAGTGATATATATATATATGCTTCCTTGACCCGGGGATGTGACGTACAGTTGACCTTGAGCTCGTTCCACAGCTGCGTCCTGCTCTTCTTCCGTGGTGTCCCGTCTCCCGAAACAGAATCCCCCATCTGGCTGGTATGCACGTACCCCTGGCTCCTGAGACTCGACAGGCTCTTCCCATCGTCGTCTACCGTACTTAGAGGATCTGAACTTATCTCTGATCCTGCAGCCTCTCCTCCGTTCAACTGCTTAGCCAGCCTCTCCGCACGCTTCTGCTGCAACTCATTCGTCAGCTCCTCGACCGGAAGAGCTCCGAGTATATTCTCCGTAGCTGTAGGCAGCAAGGCAAGCACGGTAAAAGTACAATCTGTCTGGTTCTGCTCGAATCGGCGTCGTAAACTAGGAGTATAGTCATTAGCTATCTCATCTGCTCTAGAGTGCTGTTCCAAATGACGAAACTTGTGCATACTTCTCTCGCGCAATCCGCTCACTGCTCATGCGCTCTCTAGCCTCTGATATCTTGCCCAGCACATACTGACCGGCCAGGTAGCCGACTCCGACGACTCCAGCACCAATGGCAATGCCACTGCGGTGCCGGCGCAACCACTGCTTCGTTGAGTTGAACATGCCCCCTACGCTGACCGCGAGCGCATTATCGTGCTATCGAGATGTATTTCTGCCGCAGCCACAGTATCAACAAGAGGCGTCCACTCGCGTAGTCCTATCCAAAGATGACCACTGTCCGTCCCTGGATGGTATATGAAGCTGTTTTCTTTGCGTCTCTTCGTCTTCTTCCCCGGATTCCCGTCCGTCTCAAGCGCCTTTTTTTTGCTTTCGTTTGGACTTTCAGCAGCTTCGAGCCTCGGCTCAGAGGGCGGCAGGTGACCTGGAGTCTCTTTTATCGGGGTCACGAGAAGCTCGCCGTTTCTGGACTAGTTGCCAAGCCATGTCGTGCAGGCTATGGCGTCACTGCGGCCCCGTGACCCCGCTATCGCCTCGTCGGCTGCCCCCGTCGCCCTTTTTTGCCCTTTAAGCAGCCAAAGAAAGCAAAGCAAAAAATAAAGGCCAGGGATAAATTTACTCTTTGGCTTCTTCTTTATATACTTTCTCGAGTATACATATACATCCTGGGAGGCTCCAGTCCCTGCGCGCGCTCAGATGATATAGAAAATAGAGGCGATCGCCGGCACCCTCGAGACTCTCCTTACTTGAAAAAGACCTACAGGCGGCCGATGGTCTAGCTGAAAAGGCGAAAAAAGCTCCCCGCAGCCAGCTCTGAGTCCGGGCTCCTTTCCCTCTGTCTCTCGCTTCGATCCCTCGCTTCCTCCGCCGCCGCCGCCGCCGCTGCTACACCGTAACAACATCCGGCGAACCCGATGGATACGCTGCTATGTTAAGAGCGCCCTGTCTGCCGCCAGCGAGATGGTGACCTCGTCCTCCCGCGTGCGATAAGCCAACTACTTAGACGGGATTCGCTTCCGGTGGCGTTCCTCCCCTTACATATACAAGACACATATATTACCTGACAGCCCAGCATATACATACATACATACATACATACATACTAAAACCACCGACATAAGAAGTTACTTACTTGCATATACTGCATCCCAGTCCGCTGGGTCCGCGGGGGGGACACACAAGCCAAATCGGACAAAGTACCACGCTCCCTCAGCAACGCAACCAACACCCGACCCTTCCCCCCCAGTCTGCTCTGGCAGCCAGCCGTCGTTGAACCATGGATCCTCGCAAGCCGCCGGAGCATATACTTGAGATCTTTGCGGATCGTGCCTCGGTCAAGGAGATCGTGAAGGGTGCGTTGCGTCATGTCTACTACTGTCTACTGTCCCGTGGAGTACTGTAGCTAACTTAAAATACAACTGGTTGAGCAGGAGTTATACACGCGATCTTCTTCCATCGGTACTTCCCCTGCGTCAGACCGGATTCCGTCGACGTTCTTGACTTGACGCTGCCTGTTGTGGACGATCTGGAGGTCGAGACCCTGATTGATGCGCGGGTGAATGCATTGATACAGCAACATCTTTCTACGGCATCGAACTCGGCGACTGGAGGGGTCCGGTCTCGCATTGCCGTGCAGTTCTTTGAGAAAAGGCGAAAGAAGTCTGGTGCGTGGTTCACCGGGTTGACCGGCAGTGGGGACGAGGAGGTTTGTTGGGAGATATGGACTCTAGACATCACCATTGCGACTCCGCGGACCGAACTAGGTATGTTTACCTGACTCTCTACTGTGTGTTTATATAAGTGGTAGTTGCAGCTCTAATGGGGAAGTGTGTACTCCGTATAGACCGAGCAAAGGTGCGAAAGGCGATGGAGAAAATGTTGAGGAAAGCCGCGCTCAAGATCGTGGCTATTGCGAATAAGAATAAAGACCACATTCCGCCGATTACGAGCGAGTCGAACCCGTTTCCCTACCAGATCGTTCTGAACCCGAAACTGGACAACTGGGGGAACAGACTGGGTCTCTACTGAATATTTTAATTACTGTTACCGAACGAAAGTATGAATGTTCTTCTGCCAATGCCATGTCCGAGTTTGCTTCTATCGAGGGGCAGAAGACGAGAGAAAAAAAAAGCCAACTTTGGGTATGGGAAGAGCAGACGAAGACGAAGACGAAGACGAAGAAGAAAAACAAATGACAGGTGGCAATCCGAGTCACTATACATCAACAACCAATTAAGCCCAGCCACTGCACCACCACCACCTACCCTTCTTCCCACTACATCCAGAATTACCGCGCGTACCGACGAAGAAATGGAACATGAATCAAGATGAGAGAAGAAGATCGGACAATGGCGCGGGACCATGCAACAGGGGTTGTTTCCTTTTTTTTTTTTTTTAAATGATAATTATTGCATGGCCAAGCCCCCCTGCGAGCCAACGGAAGGAAACAATAACAATAAATTCAAGAAGAGACAACATAAAAAAGACAAAAGAGTCGATGCGGTTGGATACAAGAGTCGAGTCAACGCGAGGGCAGACAGACAGTAAAATAGAACAAGCAGCGGGATCCATTCTTGTTTGTTTTCACGTCCTGAAGGATACCGCGATGACAGCTCTTGTGACCATTAAAAAAGAATCCATCCGTGATACAGAGAGAGAGTGTGTGTGTGTGTGCGTGTGTATTTTTTGTGTCCCTATCCATATACCAAACGCAGCGTCCAAGCTTGTCGTTCATAGTTATGCGCGCATCTGGAAGAAAGGGTCCATATCCCGTCAGAACAAGTGGCAGGGGCGAGGAGAGACTTGCCCACAATTCCAGTTCATTATATCGATATAGGAACAAGGCAATCAAGAGGAGTGCTCCTTGGCGGCCTGCTCAGCTTGGGCTCTCAGGTTGGAGGAGGTAGAGGGGCTCTGGAAGTAGCGGGCGAAGACAGGTTGGATGAATGAGTGGAAGACAATCTGAGCTCCGCTATACACACAATGGCCGTTAGTTATCAAATATATATATAAAAGGGGGGTCTCTGTGCAACCAGAGCAGTCGCCTGGGCTTACCTGGTCTGTGGGAGTGCCATCCAGAGGACGAGGAAGAACTTGAATAGGTAGTAGAATGCTGCAAAAAAAGGAGAGGGGCGGGAACACGTCAGCCTAGGCAGCAGCGAAATAGGTAAAGCAAACCAGCATGTACTTACGGAACCAGTATGAAGCACTGATAGCACTCTCAACAACGCTGAACAGCGCAAAGACAACCCAGTACTATAAACGTCGATTTCACGTGGTTAGCCTTTTGAATCGATCACCTGGAGGTCTCGGTACACATGGTGGGTCATTCGGGGCAAAAAAACTAACCGTCAGCCACTACAAAAAACACAAACAAAACGTTAGCACGAGCACAGATGACGAAACGTAAGCGTCGGAAGAGAGAGAGAGAGAGCAGCCAAAGCATTGCACTGCCTACCTGAGTGTCATCTGCCGTCGAGGAGGTAAAGAGGGCATTGAGGGAGTAGTAGCCTGGGATGGCGAAGCCGGCGAGGTTGACGAGGAAAGCTCCGGCGATATTGAAGAAGACAAGGAAGACGTAGATGCCTGCGACGCCGAGGAAGGCGTATACCTTGGGCACTGAGGTCTGTCGCTCGAGGTTGTTGAGCACTGGGTATCTGGAGAGCTGCAGGGAGGCCGTCGTTAGCACTGGTTTCGTGCGAAGTGGGATGTTCGCCCTTTGGAGTCGGGCTGCGTAAGATAAGAGGAGGAGCGAGGAGCTTGCATACTTCCTTATCGATCTGGGCGATCTGGTGCTGCACACGGTCCTGGAACGACATCTTGCTGGTAGCTTGTATGTGTGTGTGCTTGTGTGGAAGAGAGAGAGACGCTGGGTGTTGAAGACGAAGACGGTGCGGGATGAGGCTGTTGGCTGGTTCGAAAAGGAGGGTCGTCGTCTTTGTTGGTTTCTTGTTGTTGTTGTTGTTTGTTCGAGCAGGAAGTTCGAAACTTGTGGCTTGTTTTACTTACTTTTGCTTTCCTTTCCTTTCGGGGTTTTCTGCCTTTTGCTTTTGGGGCGTGTGCGCAGGCGAGGGGTCACGTGATGGCTTTCACGTGCTTTGCCACTTCCCTGATTGGGAGTTCTGCCGACCTCCACCGCCTTCACCGATAAGCTCGGTCATGTGATCTTATCTACTCTCATCACGTGATAAATAGCCTCACAACACGTGATATTTGTTTATATCACGTGATGGAAATATCATGTGATTTAGGTGTTATTCATGACTAAGCAGAAAAAAAAGCAACTAGACCAAAACAAGCGAAAGAAAATTTAATATGGGATGGGCGCAGGCGAAGGCGTTTCCCCATCAACAACACCTTGTTTACATGCCGGACGGAGGAAAACGACAACCCAGGCACCGCAGGCCCTTTTTTGCGCGAACGACGTCCCAACACAGTCCGCAAACGACCACGACGGCTGCAGCCACGCCGGGCTCGACAAGGTAACCTCCACTGCCTATTGTCCTTTGGCCGTCTTTGCATCGCTTTGTCGCCTGGTAATATCGACGACTGCCTGGCTCGAGCTGGGCCTGTGGCGGTGACAATCTCGAGTCCAGCAGGGGACCGCCCTCGACTGCGAAAAAAACGAAGGAAGCAAAAATCGAGGGATCATATTCTTATCCAACCATTCGCTGAATACTCACACAAGTCATCATGACTCCAGATATCGGTAAATGGCCTTGTTGACCTCTACTTTTTTGCATTGCTGTTGTTGTTATTGTTGCTGGTGGTTGTTGTACTCGGGGGTGTTTTCCGCCCACCCCCCCCCCATCATGACCCTGACATCCTGGCTGACTGGCTCCTCGCGATGGCAGATACTTCATGCTTGCCGGCTCAGACAGCTCAAAAGCGACCGAGAAGTCGGCAGAGCACCATTGAACCCATGCGGTCGAGGTCAAACACAGCGTCGACCAAGAGTGCTCGTCTCTCGAGGTCTCGGGGGTCGACCGCCAGCATTCACTCAGTCATCACACAGTACCATCCAGATGTCCAGCAACAGCAACAACCAGCGCCCCAGGATATCTATGCTACATACATGCGCTCTCAGTACCCTCCTTCACAAGTAACTTATCATCATCCAAACCCAGAAGAGATGATCCTGCGGTACGGTGAGCAGTTCGGGCATGCTACTGCTCCTCCTCCTGCGCCCAGGCTGGACGAGCATACCTTGCAGCAACAGCAAGAGAGTCATAACGTTTCAGCAGTCCGGCAGCAGCGTCCAGACCTGCAGCTTCAGGAGCATCTTCTTCGCAACAGGAATATTAGTGTACAGCCGTCACAGCCGTCTCCGCCACCAGGCATCATCCCGGCCGAGTTTGCATCCGCTCATTTCCCCCAGATGTTTGATACCACAGAAAACCACCATCATCCCACACCAGACCGCATGCTTGAAGATAATGACGGGTCGGAAGTCGGTCCTCGAAAGAGACGAGGCACCTCATCTTCCATAGCCAATGATAACGAACTACGACGGCTTCTTCGTCAATATGATGGATACTCTCTACAGGATATGGCTTCCGAGGTTAGGAAGAACGAGGGAGCCGGTGGTAAATCAGAAAAAGTCAAACAAGTGTTTGCTATGATATGGTATGCATAATCTCCCCCTGTTTATTTTTGTCATGTATATTATTTACTTAATTCACCCAATACAGGCTTCGTGAGAACTGCCAGAGAGGAGATGGTTCGGTCCGTCGAGACCGTGTTTACTGTTGTTATGCCGAAAAGTGTGGAAATGACCGTGTGTCGGTGCTTAATCCCGCCTCTTTTGGCAAGCTCGTCAGGATCATATTCCCAAACGTGCAGACTCGTCGCCTCGGAGTCCGCGGAGAGTCAAAATATCATTACGTTGATTTGTCCCTTATTGGTCAAGACACCAAGGCTGAGTGCGACGATAAGATGGACAAAGTGCAAGACCACGGTTTGAACCTTGATGGTGCTGCTTCCCAGCTCGAGTCCAGCTTTCTCCCTGATTCTCAGCAAACACAAAAATCAATTGTTGATGCGGGAGACGCTACATCTCCGGGCCTGAATATCCTGCAGCAAAGCCAGCCATCCGCCCCTACACACCGCTGTGCCTGCGCAGACACCAACGTCTCCGATATCAACGTGGGAGTTGACCCTATGGCTGTCAAAACCCAATTGAAGATCAAACATCTGCTTCAATTTGAGCCGACAGATAATACCCCATCCACTGACAGCGATACCCTCTCATTGCCAAACATACATCAGTATCTCCCCGACAACTCTGATCCTTCAGCCGCCGACGCACTTGCCGCCTTGTATCGCTCTCACTGCACATCGGTTATCGACAGCTTCAGGTTCTGTAAGGAAAAGAACCTCTTCCGTCACTTTACTGCCTTCCTGGGCACTCTCACCGTGCCGGTCCACAAACTCCTTATTCATCCGAACGTTGCACCATGGGTGGAGGAATGTGACTGGATCATGTACCAGAAGATGCTTGCCTTTGTATCTCCACTCACAACGCAGGTTGTTCCAGACCCTGTCCTCAAGGCCTTCCAATCCATTTCATGCAAGCTTGTTACTCATATCGCCGAAACCCTCAAATCGCAACCAGAGCATGTGTCCACCGCGCGACTTGTTCCCTGCCGGCTGTTTTGTCATTTACTGAAACGCATGCTTGACGTTAACCAGTCTGCCATTGCCGCTGCTGCATGGCTCTGCCACCAACAAAATCGAAATAAGATGTGGGAAGAGTTTAGTACCTTCGTTGATCCGACTGAGACCGTCATCAAGGCTAACATACCTCCGTGCTCGCTGAAAACCGCAATTACTATATTAAAGGAACATATGAAGTCTCTTTTATACCCATTGGATAACTGCCCACCTCCTCAGACTGACTCTATTGACCAGGAGTTAGCTGGGTTCCAAAAGTTCCCCCTTCAGCAAACTAACAATGAAGAATACACAAATTTCCCAGACCGATGGATCACTTTCATTTTACAACTGCCTGCCATGTTCCCCAATCACTCTGCAACTTGCATAATCGAAAAGGCGGATGCACTATGGACCACTGCCCTTCACCGTCTCACCCTTTCGAATGCAGAGAGCTTCAGTGCCTGGTGGATGACCAAGGTTTTCTTCCTGGAAATGATGCATTGGCAAGCAGAAAGGGGAGGTTTTATGGCTACTTCGCCAAGGTCGCTACGTGAACATTCTGCAAACCTCTTGAACAAACCCACAGCAACAGTTGCAGCCCAGCTTGCAAGCTTCGCCTCTACCAACCATCTCTCCAGTCAGCAAACAGAAACCGAGCAGTCAACTCAGGAGGCGGCCCCAAACGTGAATCAGGCCACATCGAATACTGCAGCTAAGACCATCAAGGCCGATGTCCCAAACCGACCTGCTGTTGACACGAGTCTAGAGGGAAACCAGATTAATAATGATGATAGCGCCATCGCTCTGGAAGAGGATTCTGTCCTTCTTGGAACCACTAAATATACAGACATGACATTGTCTGATCCTGCAGATGCAGAAGGGGATGTTATCGTCGTATAACACAAACCGCCTTTTTTTTTTGATGTTCAGTCGTCTCTGCTTTCCAACATGTTTGCGTACCGCTTTTTGGAGTTCAATTTCCTCCTTGTTGGTCATTTCACCATGTTGGAGTTTTCACTGGATCGATTATTCAATTCACACTCACACCTCGATGCACTAATATCTCATTGGGCCATTTGGATTCGGCGTTTCTTTTTTCTTTTGGTGGTTACTGGGATAGAACCATTGTTGCCTCTTTGTTCGAGTTTCTAAGCTTCATATCATTCCGCGCAAGTGGTCTCCTACTGCGGTCAATTCCACGCAGACTTTCACATACGAAGGATACTCGCCCCTATTTCAATCAGGTTTGCTCATTCAGAAGTCGTCCTTTAGCATGACGATAAGAGCAACAGATCCATACCAACCTCACGCCCCTATTTTCCTATACTATCCCCTGGCTTCGACTGATGAAAACTCCAGATGGGTGTCCATTCAATATTCATGTCATGTTTGATTCTCTTTAACTTTTTTTTCTTCTCTATTTGCTTCCCTTATATTGTTCAAACCAATTTCGGAAGCTCAAGTCAACGAAGTGGTATGGAATCTGATGCTATTCCTGAATCTCAGGAAAAAAAGGAGGGAAATGTTTATTTTCTTTACTCTATTCATGCACAAAGCTAACTACCTACACCTTTCCCCCCTTGTTTATCGATCTAATGATGACGATGAATGTTTATGATAGGATCGATTGAAGCTCTTTCCTTTTATGTGTATATAGTCCTTTCTTCCCCCCTGATACTGGACTTGATTATACATGAGGCATTTGATTTATGACTGGCAAATTCCACTTTCTTCGTTCATGAGCATTTTTTTTTTTTCGACCTTAGTTATGCAGTGCGTTGTATTATGCGTTTATTGCAAGGGTAATTAAATATGTCTTCGTTTGTATCCCGTCATGATCTTCCTTTTCATACGTAGCCTAGTTATTAATAAAAAGTGTGCTTAGAAGTTATGGTATGATGCATCATTGATCCTTCCTACTCTCCTCTGGTTCATCCGTTGCTTGTACGGGAGCCGGTGAGTTCGTTATTAGCCCCAGTTTCCACAATATCCACATGAAACCACCGATGATAATCATAGCAGTTCCAACCTGTATTTCCATCCGTTGCGTATCACGGCTCATATTCAATACTGGAACGCTAATCGTCTCAACGAGCAGGCTTGACGCTGGTTCCGGCTCAGGCTGGAGATGATAATACGTCGTCCGAGCAGGGAAATTCGACTCCCATCCCAAACTCACACGATCAAACGGGTTAATTTTCTGCTTATCGTCTGCGTTTCCGTCATCACTGGCACAGGCCCAGAAAACCACGGGCCAGGGAACGGATATGTCGCGGTACCCTGACGGGGAAGGGTGTAGGTACCGCAGGTGCAGAGGGACGGTTATATTCCACTCATCATTCGCCAGAGGGTATTCTGATGCAGCTTCCAGTGAAGGCGTGGCTAGTTCTAGGAGCAGGTTGGATCCCCATTGTTGCGTTATCCAGTTTGGAGCTTCGAGGTCGGTTTCGCCTTGGATGCTGTGTAGGGAAACTAGGTTGTGGGATTGGAGGAAGAGACGGTCTTTGGTGGAGAGTTGGTATTTATCGGCGAATATTGTCGATGGGAGGGTGAGGTATGTGTATAAAGAGCAGGTTGTGTCGGGCGGTAGTTTTGTAGGGGGGTAAAGGGAGGATTTCCTTAGGGAGAGCTGCAGAGTAGGGTGGAGACCGGTTGGAGATGTGAATTGGGTGCGGTATGTAGTTTGGATAGGATGGTGTCGTGAACCGAAGCTGAATAGAGTGGGAGCTGGGCGGCGAGATGTTAGAAATATTTCAGGTGGGTGATTGGCATGGACAGGGTGCTCATACTTAGCTCTGCTTTTCGGCCTATATCGGCCAACATCCCACCCACTCTCACTTCCTCTGGTTTCAGGGGAGTCTGCTCCGCTAAGATTCCAATTTCAACTCGGTCTCCATCATATTTAGGTTCATTGATAACTTCTGTCCAGCCAGCCTTTTCGGGAGCGTCTGGCCAGTATGCAGCCACCATAAGATGAGCCGTGGAATCATTGTAGTCTATATCCAGTGAAGAAGCCGAGGAGATCGAAGCAATGCGGTTGTGGCATTCGGTATTTTCCTGGCAAATGTATCGATCGAGGTAGGTAATAAGTTGGTGTAAGGATGGAAGCAGCGTTTGGAGTTTTAGGCGTGCGTAGGGATCGGTGGTTGGTATGAATGAGGACGGGGAAGATGATAACTAGAGAGTACATTGAGCGTTTAATATATGTTTCTGTTCAATGCAAGGGAGTGGGAAGATGCCAGAACTAACCGGTGAAATGGTACAATCAATCTGACTGCTGAAGCTCTTCTGTAGCAGACGGCATAGAGATTCACTATAAACATTCAAGACAAAAAAAGATTGATGTAAGCAGCCGTCCATGTATGTCTAAGGGGGGAGAAGTAGACAAAGAATCAGATAACGAGGCTGCAGGGCGCCACGACGTACCCAGACGAACCGCTGCTGGCTGGCGTAAAGACGACATGCAGCCCTGGAGAGACTCTGCTGCTAAACGGCGCAACGGCAGTGTACGGTCGTTCGGAGGCCCAGCGAATGCGCAGGTCGCGGCATTTCTTCAGCACTTGTCGGATCTAAACCAGCCATGCTATCAGTACCGCTGATCAAGCTCGTATTGCCCAGCATATCTCACCTCATGAGGGAGCTCGGTGTAGTCGAACAAGATCCTCTCCTGCTTAGCTGCTTTCAAGGCCCGGATGGAGAGCGTCGTCTGGTTCACGGTGGTCTGGCTGGGGTCGAAGTCGCTGTCGCCTTCGTGGATGTACGTCAGGCGAGTCTTCATCGTGACGGACTGCGCTGTCTATGTCTTCGTCTGGCGTCTTCGAGTCCCCCTTTTTTTTCCTCGTGCTTGTTTATATCGGTTGTTTGTAGTTTTGTAGCTTGCTGGAACTTGAATGTTCTATTTCTGGGGTGGAGTCCTAGCGCGCCAATAAGCTTTGAGACTAAAAAGCGGGCAGAGCCGAAGTAGATAGTAGATACATGCTGAGCAGCAAGAAGCAAGAGATGAAACTATGTATTTGTTTATAATAGAGCAATAAGGGCGCTGCCGGAGAGGTAGAAGAGTAAAAAGACAGATAAACGCCATCCCAGATGATAACTAGTCAGTAGCTGCTGCATGTGAAATCAACCAATCCCCTGTTGTTCCACTGATGATATATTAGAAACCAAAACAAAAAAACTCCAACAATGCAGCTGCCCTCCATCCCCTTTGTGCTGAATTTATTTCATTAATTCATTGTGTTCATGTCGAGCGAGGTCCTCCTGTAATGTAAATGTATGGAAGCGGGACCGGTTGGGAACGGAATCCCAGATCAGAGAGCCTGTGCAAGTTTCGTCTTCTGGGCCTGTGTCAACGAGGTCGGGAATTTGACGTCCACTTTGACGATAAAGTCGCCTCGGAGAGTTGGCTGTTTCGGCTTTGGCATGCCTTGTGCTGGGAATTTCTCTTCAAACCCAGGTGGTGTTGGTCCGGCTCCGCTGACACGCAGCTGTCTTCCGTCGATAGTGTTGACTGTGCGAGACCAGCCAGTCAGCGCCTCCTTGAGGCTTATTTCGATGGTCGTTATCAGGTCATCGCCGACACGCTTCAAGTGTGGGTGTTCTTTCTGTAGAATAATAGTTAGAAAAAGGTGCTCTACATACGATACTTGTATTTGTTAGGGTGAAGAATGGCTTACCTCGGCGACAATGAAATGTAGATCTTGGGTTCCGCCCTCTTCCTGATCGCCAACACCCTTGAACTTGATCTTGCTGCCGGCCTTGAGGCCTCGCTTGATGTCAAACTCCAGAATTTTATCTTCCATACTTCTCTTTCCTGTCCGTTCATCAAAGGTCTTCCGCTTGATCTTCATCTTCTTGTGCACACCGTGGAACAGCTCCTCCAGCGAGAGGGGAAGCTGTCTTTCAACAGTCGTAACTTCGGGCGTTGGAGGCCGCCGTGCTTCTCGTCTATATCGCGGGCCACCACCACCTCCTCCTCCAAAGCCACGGCCACCACCTCCGCTCAGGAAGGAGAAGAGATCGTCGTCACCAGCGCCACCGGATCGGGCGAAGCTAGAGAAGATATCGTCTGGCGAGCTGAACGAGAATCCGCCTGGTCCGCCTCCGGTTGAGAAGTGGAATGTTCGAGTCCCTCCGCCTGGCATGCCTCCGAACCCTTGGAAGCCTCCCGGCATTCCACCAGCACCGAATGGCATGCCCTCAGCTCCTCCTGCACCTGGTGGGGGTTCTGCGTTTCCGCCACGAAGGAGGAATTCCAATCCATATTGATCGTAGACTTTTCGTTTCTCGGGGTCTGAAAGCACTTCGTATGCCTGGGAGACATCTGCACACAGGTTGTCAGCCCGTCTGCCACCGGCTGTTAATTAAACGGGTACAAATCGAGTAAACACTCACCTTTGAACTTTTCAGCTGCCGAAGGGTTGTCTGGGTTCTTGTCGGGATGCCATTTCAATGCTGCTTTCCTATCGATCTGTCAGTCCTGGCGACGCCACGGGGAGCTAACTAGTTAAGCGGGGGTCCAGGAAGTACACTTACTTGTATGCCTTCTTGATCTCATCCTGCGAGGCAGAAGGGGATATGCCTAGCGAGTCGTAGAGCTTTGTCTCAGCAACCATGACTGCTGGTTCTGAGCGAGAGTGTTCAATGTGTAGGCTGGGTTGTCCGCAGTGTCGAGCTGCTTGCGGTCTCGTGGATTATGCGGTGTGGTAGTCGTGAAGTAACTAACTGGTTGGTTAAAGTTGCTGCAGGGCGAATGAAGCAGCCAGTCAAACAGCGACCAGGCTGGCGAGTAAGTTAGGTAATAAGTCACTGTCCAGCAGGCAAGGGAGTCTTGGATAAAGATTGGCTGTTTTGTCTCTCGCTTCCAAGCTCCAGCAGCACCGAGCAAGTATATATAGAGGCGTCCGTGGTGTCCACGCAGGCGGGAGTTGGCGCAGCCTCTGGTGTCCTTTATGAGGCGTTGCTACAAGCCGGCTAAGTGGGTGCCGCCTGTGACGTGATGCCTGGGCCGATCCCGCGGCCGAGCGAAGCTTCGAGAAGGTTCTCCAACGCTGGTTGGCTGGCGGTGCTGATAGGGGGTGTTGATATCAATAACTAGCTGATATAGGCATAGACGATAGCAGGGCAGGTGATATTATTATATAGATTGAGGTGTAGACTAGTTATTTGGACACGATGTGGACGACGTCTTCGTCTGCTACTAGATGGCCCAGTCCTACTCGCTGCGGTACATGCGTGACGCTGGCGCCCCAGACAAGGGCGTACTTGAAGGACTCCTTGAGCGTGCGGTGGATTTGGTCGCACACGTCCTCGATCGTAGAGTTGCTCCTCACAATCAGAGCCTCGTTGAAGTCGGGGTCCACTCCTTTTCTACGCTCCGGTTAGCAATAACAATAACATTAAGCACAAAGAGGTGGGACCAGGGGGTGGCTTGCCGCTTTGTGTAGATGCGGATGAGCTGGAGTTCTTGCCAGCATCGGTCTACCACGTCTTTAATGCCCAGGTCGAGCTCGCAGCTCATCACACAGGTGTGAGGCTCTCTCGCTAGCTGGTCAAGGAAGTCCAGGCTGACGCTGTCGATCTTGTTATACACGTACAAGCTAGGAATTGGCCGGTTAGACGAGTCGAAGAGGTTCTAGATCAGACTTGCTGTTGATGTCCTTACCACTTAATATATTTTCTGTGGTCCTTCATGATAACGTCTATGAAGTCGTCGACGGTGGCTACAGTCTATGGTTAGTCTATGGAGCATAGGCAAGTAAAAAGGATGAGAGTCATTACCATTTTCATCTCTAACCAGGACCTCGCAATTGAGCACCTTGTAGTCTCTCAGGATATTGTACAACATCTTTTCGTCAAGATACTTTGGAGGTGACTGGAATGTGATCTTCATCCCGCCAGCCTTTTTGACTTTCAGATAGATGTTTCTGTCGGTATATATTAACAATTGCTCTTCTGTGATGGAAACTGCGTATACTTACGGCACTTCTCGATTCAGCCGGATTCCGACAGCTTCTAATTCTGCCTCTAGTAATGCTCTTTGCTCAGCTTTCTTCGTTGCGTCCAAAACCATTAAGATCAAATCACTGGTCTTCATCTCACGTTAGCTATTGTAAAGGGAAATTTAGTCTATCGGTGGGAATAAGTACCTTAGCCGCAGAAATAACCTGCCTCCCTCGTCCCCTGCCTTCTGCTGCTCCTTCAATGATTCCGGGAAGATCCAGAATCTGAATCTCAGAACCACCATACTCCAACACGCCAGGAATAGCTGTGAGAGTGGTGAAGGAGTACGCAGCAACTTCACTCTTGGTCTTGGTGATTTTTGATAAAAAGGTTGACTTTCCAACCGAAGGGAATCCGACAAGAGAAATTCGAGCATCTCCGCTCTTGCTAACGTCAAAACCAGCTCCTCCGCCGGATCCAGATCCTCCAGTTGGCTCAAGAAGCTGGGCTCGTAATCGTGCAAGTTTTCTGATTGTGGGGTATAAATTAGTTTGATAGTTGAACTCCTGGTTGTGCATAGGTATACGTACCCCTTAAGTAGACCCAAATGGTATTCTAGAAGGCGTTAGTTTTTGTCAATGCAGAAGTTGAACTGAACCCGTACGAACATACCAGTGGCCTTGTTTTCTATACGCCCAAGCAGTTAGTTCATATATACCAAATGACGATATCAACAAATCCATATAATAAGAGCCCATACTTTGCGTCCTGCGCATCTCCTCCTCGATCCTGCACATCACCAGACACTCATATTAGCCCGTATTCATTCACCAGCTGTAGGGATAAATATATATATGGTAAAGCTCACTCCTTAATCTTTTCCGTGATGTTCACCATGATGGGCAACGTAGCAGGGTATTATCAATCCAGTATCGGTGTGTTTTATCCGTGAGATCTGAGATCTCTGACCTTTCCTCTTCCACCAACGACCAAAGAAATGAGATCAAGCTGGTGGTATTAATCTGATATCTTCTTCTTCTTTTCTCTTATTCTCTTCTTCTCTTCGTCTTCTCCCCGCCAACTGATTGGCGCAAATGTGGGCTGCGGTGATTACATAAGCAAGACTGTTCGCTTTTTGCAGCTTCGGAAGTTTTGGAGCTTCAACGAGCTGCAATTCACGCTATTTATCAGAACAACCACAATCTTACGCCTGAGATAGAAAAGATGGCCTCGGCAGACTCAGTTGAGGCTCAGGAGGGTGTAGCCATGGCTGAACAGCCGTCAACGGACCTCCAGGTGCAAGAGGCAGATGCGACAGAGGTAACAGAAACTGCCCTTACAACGACAGACGGAGCAGACAAGGAGAAGAAGACCAAGATAATACGGCGGAAAAGACGGCCGGCACGAGTACAGGTTGATCCATCGACTGTGAAATCAGAACCACCGCCGCAGACCGGAACCATCTTCAACATCTGGTATAATAAGTGGTCAGGAGGCGATCGAGAAGACAAATACCTCTCCCAACAACCAGCCGAGTCGAGGTGCAATATCGCAAAGGATAGCGGATACACGCGCGCCGATAAAATAACAGGGTCCTTTTTTTGCATATTCTTTGCTCGGGGCCTCTGTCCAAAGGGACATGAGTGTGAATACCTTCACCGCTTACCGGGAATACATGACCTTTTCAACCCAAACGTGGACTGTTTTGGCAGAGACAAGTTCAGCGATTACAGAGATGATATGGGAGGCGTGGGTACATTTATGAGACAGAATAGGACCCTATACGTCGGAAGAATACACGTTACAGACGATATCGAAGAGGTGGTAGCCAGGCATTTCGCCGAATGGGGACAAATCGACAGGATCCGCGTTCTTAACCAGAGAGGAGTTGCGTTCGTCACATACACAAATGAAGCAAATTCCCAGTTCGCAAAGGAGGCAATGTCGCATCAGAGCTTGGATAATAATGAAATATTAAACGTTCGCTGGGCGACCGTGGATCCCAACCCGGCCGCGCAGAAAAGGGAGGCAAGACGAATTGAAGAACAGGCTGCAGAAGCTGTGAGGAGAGCTCTACCGGCTGAATTTGTAGCAGAGCTTGAAGGCAGGGACCCAGATGCCAAGAAAAGGAAGAGGCTAGAAGCTGGGTTTAATCTGGATGGCTATGAGCCGCCAGATGAAGTCTGGTATGCAAGAAGTCGAGAGCTGGAACAGGCCCAAGATGGCGCAAGAGAGCTTGAACCAGCGGCTCAGCCTGGGCTGATTGAAGCACCACCTCCCGCACAGCCGGCTGCGGGTAATGGGATATTATCTGGCTCAACTTTGGCTGCGTTACAGAGCTATGGAGGCTCTGGTATTACTACAAAACCGGCTGAAACCAAGAGTTCAGGCGGTCCTTTGGTTGCTTATGGTAGTGATGATGATAGCGAATGATACCACGGGGATAACAATCCCTCTGCTTTTTTCTTTTCCAGTCCCCTAAGTCTTTACATTTTCTCTGGTGTACTTTAGAATTCATTTGGCTAATTTCTAACAGGGCATACTGTAAAATAACTATACTTACATGAATTCAACCGTCTGCTGATTAATTAATTTAATTTCCTCGTTTCAAGTCGTAATAAATGCAGTTTCCGGTGCGATAGTTGTAGATGAAAGCGTTGGTATACTTCACAGTTCCATCCGGTGCAACACTTTCACTCGCTAGATCGATCAATAGCTCATGGATATTACCTAGGTATTTTCTTTCCACCAATGGCGCACTCTGGATGGCATTCCGCCAGCTATCCGGATCCGAAAGACGAGTGTCTCGAATACTCTCGAGAACATCATCTCGGACATCTATTGCAGCAATGGGCCCATCAAGGCCTTTGTCCAGAACTTCACGAGAGCGACGCAGTGCTGCAACATAACTATTAACAAGGGAGACTCTCGCATGGGGTTATGAAGAAAACTTACCAAATTCAACAATATTTCTCCTATTAGTCTTTTTGCTCTTGTGAAGGGGTGTCAGGATTCTAACATCCGAATCTCTCTCTCTGCCTGAAAGGCTGGCCTCAACCTGGCTAGGATGTTTGACCAGCTTTGGAGAGTCAGGGGGTCGGTCATGTTTGAATTTCCTGCGAGCGCGCATCTCATTCCGAAGCCAGGGGACTAGATCTGAGCTTCTCACGTCAAAGTCTTCTTTGCGTTGTACACTCTTGACTCTCAAACCCCTCTCAATACTGTCCTGCTTGACAATGACCACCCAGCTGTAGTTATCGTCGACATATCTGGTAAGAAGGTCTTCTAGTGAAGGCGTCGTGTCCGCTGCAAGCTCAGCGCTGATGTCGTGTGCCCATAGAGTCGAGACAATACCAACTCCAACAGTTCGTAGGACAGAAGGATCAAAACTAGCAACCAATACATCACACTGTAATCATTTGTCGTTAGCCATGCACGCCCATTGTTTTTATAGTAATGGATTCAACCTACTTTATTTTTGCGCCAGGAATTTCCAACCTCTGCATCTGGCTTAAGAAAAGATTTATTAGATCCTTTCAGATAGTTTGTCATTGACCCGTTCAATTTATCTAATCCAAGATTAAAGCCAACCGCATGGGATCTTGGACGGTTCGAGCGCAGGATGGGCTGGAATTCCTGGATCAGACTGTCGTATCTTCCGCCGGCTGCAAAGACATCTCTTCTCTTCTTATCAAAGACGCACTGAAAGAGCACGCTGCCGTTGTAGAATTTGTCGTTCAAGCTGCTCAATGGGCTGATATAGACTTTTCGCTTCACTTTGAACTTCTCCAGATATGAAACAACTATGTTCAATCGGTTAAAGATAGGTGACAATCTATCGGCGTATTCGGTGCCATCCATTATCGCATGAAGCCTGCTTAATGCTTTCTGGGGGGTATCTAGAGCAAATGTCAATTTGATATCTTAGATAAACAGTGACACAATAGAAAGTCCGCTAGACATACCTCGGAAATCGAACCGCGACAAATCATCAATTGAAGTCGATGGCACACCGATACTCGGTGATCGGAGTTCACTTCTGATCTTCTGCATCGTGTATTGCCCAATATTAAGTTTGCTTATGACCTCTTTCACGATAGGTCGCTGTTCGGGCGTGATACGGCAAAATGCCACAACTGCCTCCAAGAGGTCAGAGTGGTTGAGATGGAAGCACATCTGGGTAGATCTCAGTGGCGGGAATTCGTCAATAATCTCATCCAGCACTTTTATTACCTCTGCTTCCTTCAAAGGTAGATCCAAGGTGTTATAGGAAACAATATCAAAGTCAACTTCTTTATGACCCCTGGGTTCGCCTCTATGGACAGATTCCCTATAAACAGTACCAAATGAAAACGCCTTTTCGATAGATAAATCCTGTTTCGGTAGAGCACGAGCGTTTGGAAGAGTAAGGTCGTAGGGAAGCTGGACTAGATTTCCGCCTGGGTCTAGAAGCCGGACGGCGCCTGGGCCATAATGGGATGATCGTGGGAATAGTGACTGCCTGCAAGTTTCTACAGCTCCATGTTTTCGGAACAATGCAGTAAGCTTGTCTTTTACTACTCCGTGCAATAGCAATTCTGTAGCTGTAGGACTTGCACGCGAGTCTATATCCCATGCAATGTCTTCAAACTTCTTTTGAGGCTGGGAAAATATCGCGGAGAGTATTTTTTTATAATCAGGAGATTCAGGGTCAGATAGGAGTCCCATGACTGCTTTCCGGAACATCTCTTCCTCAACCTGTAGCGGTATTTTGTCGCTCTGAAGCAACTCAGTTGTGGTTGGACGTTCACTAGGTCGGTGGCTAATGAGAGAGAGAATTATTTCTCCCTGTGCCACTTTTTCTGGGAGATTGAACGCTTCCGGAAGGGTATGCTCCTTTTGCCGGATACCCTGGAGTATCCGATCTCTTTCCATTCCAGTCTCAAGCGGATAGCACATTTCGAAGAAGATAATACCAAGAGAGTACATCTGTGAATGTTAGCATGAACTTAGTGATAAAAGGAAGAGTAGCTTACATCAACTTTCTCATTATACTGTCCCATAGAAGCCTTTTTAACCTCTGGAGCGACATAATACGTGGTACCAACACTCTGAGTAAAACCGGCTCCTATGTTCTCCAGGGCAGGCGATCGGTCGGTTGAGCTAAGTTGTCCACTTGTAGCCAGGCCAAAGTCTCCAATTCGCGGGTTATTCGCCATATCAATGAAAATATTGTCTGGCTTGAGGTCCCTGTGTAGAATGCCATGGGAATGGATGTGATTGAGACCGTCAAGGATCTGTCGGAAGAGTCTCCATGAAGAATCAATATTTTCATGCAATCCAAATCTGATAAGGTCTCGTAGAGTCTAGAACGGCAGGTTAATTTCCTAAAACCTCGATAATTATTTCCGGACAACCACTTACGTGTTTCTCACAATATTCCATCTGGATATATAGGGTTGTAGGAATAACTCGTGACTGCGAGCCTGACCTTACCCGGCGAAGGGATACACCCTCCTCCGTAGTACTAGCATTGGTCCCCTTCTTCTGAGCGCCAGTGCCATCTGAAATGGTATCACTTTCCCCTTCTTCATCGGTATCATATCCGAATTCAACCTTTGGGTAACCACTGGAGCTGATGAAATCTAGTCCACTAGTGCTGTAGCCAAACTCGACATTATCTCCCGAATGGGAACCGGAGCCGTCTGAAGACAGAATGGCATCCGAGCCATCATCATCACTCATTGCAACGTAATTCTCTTCTAGCCATGCCGTAAAATATCGCACAACATAAGGATGATTGAGTCTTGACAGTAGCATGATTTCTGATAGGGTATCTTTTAAAGCAACAGGGGACTTTTGGGATATCTTTTTGACAGCGTAGAACCTGCCATCCAATTTATTCCGAGCTTTGACAACCAGGCCGTAACCTCCCCTTCCAAGGCGGCCAACTTCATCGAAATCATGACTGTAACGGGAGACTGCTGCTAAGTGACCCTGGGAATCATGACGAGTGCGATGGGGAAGGGAAGACGAGCCAGGAGTTCCAGTGGGGACGATCAACGGTGTGTCAACGCGAAAGAACTCAAATGGTTGGATCTGGAACGGTGTCGGACGTTTTTTAGGGTCAGATCTAAATATTTCAACAAGCATGTCCTCTAGTTGAGGGGATAGTTCCATGGAGTTGATGACGGCATCTGCGGATGTATACCGTTGTAGGATATCTTTCCCAAAGCCCATTTGCAAGAACAGGATACCTAGATCCCAAACATCAGCCTTGATGGTTGGTTTCATGCCTTCACCTGCGAGTTCTGGAGGTAACCAGAATGGAGATTTTGGTGTTGTAAGACTTCTTCTTCTCGCTGTAGATGATAGCGGGAGTACTTCCTCCACATTACCGAGCAGTTTTACTGTTGTTGTACTCGATGGGCTTCTGAAGAGCAGAACACGACCACAGTGAATATTTCCATGCACCACACCGTGACGATTATAATACTCCAGAGCCTCGACCAGCTGGATCATCCAGGCTCTGGCATTATCTGCCGGAACGCTGCCGACAATATCCAGTAGTTCAGATAGGGAACCCTTGTTAGCATGCTCAAAGAGGGCATATATGTGCCAGGTGCCGGTTTGACTTGAGGATGAATCAATGGGACGTTGGATTTTGAAGCCAATGAAATCCACAAGGTTGGGATGACGAAGCTTCTTCAAGAATTCAAGTTTATCCTCACTCACGCTGATCTGGAACCGGAGATCAATATCCTTATGTTCACTTTCCTGGATGAATATCTCCTTTAAAACAAGGAGTGGTACCAACGGTGTGTTTCCCGGGACAATCGGCCTCACTAAGAACGTTTCCTTGTAATGAGATTTGCCAATTATATTCTTCCCACTAACTGATTTAAACCATAGGGGGCGATCATGCAGACCTGTGATGGCCATTGGGGGATCGAACGATATTGCATCCGGGACATCGATAACAGACTCCAAAAGACCAAAGTCTTCTGCATTAGTCCTACTCTTGCGACGAGACAACTGCTCGTTCTCCCTTTGACGCTGCTTCAGTTTATCTTCAACTAGCAATTGTAATGATTTCTCCTCCTCAACGGTTGCTTCTTGCTGTCGAGCTAACTCCTCCTGCTTCAGCTTCTCGGCCTGCTGAAGAGCAGCAGCCTCCTGGACTATACGTTCCTCCTCGAGGCTTGGTAGGTCCTTGTCTTGGGCTTGTGCCTGCGCACAGTCTTCCAGGACGTCTTCAATGGCAACAGCCAGTTCATATATCATCTCGGACCCCAGGAGTTCTACTGGCTTGGACTTCAGAACGCCCTCAAGCCGCTCTTTGGCACTCTGTCTGACATCTTGAACAGTTTCTAGTTTTAATATCGGAACTGATTTGGGATAAGTCGTCGGCAGTTCAACCAAAAGGCAGACTCGAACCTCAGGATTTGAGGACGCCTTGAGCTGCAGCTTAAAGGATATTGTCGAGGATTGCTGGATAGACAAGATAAGCATAATAGGTTAAATCAAGAGTCTCATATAAAAGAAAATCCATTATAAAAGTGCGTGCGAATTTACAGGCAGTGCAGAGCACTCGACACAAACTTACATTCCACGCAGAGGGTTTTGTCTCTACGTCCTCGAACTCGTCACCGTATATTGAACGCAGGGCGTCCGCCTCATTCTTGTGTATCTCTTCATAATTAGTGGCCAGGGCCAGGTTAGAGGCAGTCTGCTGTTTGTCTTCCACAGGGGAACCGTTGGTTTTTGTGCTCCCTTTCCTTTGTTTGCGCGGCATGATCGCATACAAATAGAGAGTGTTCTCAACGAGCGAGAGTGTTGCTTCTCAGGAAGCAAGCAACAGAGATTGCAGCCGTAGCTGCAGCCCTCTATTGGAACATTATTAGACGGAAAACAATTGGTGGTTAGGTGAGAAGAAGTGCTGGATTGTCCTGTCTGTCTTTGTGCCCAACAAGTGATTCACATCTTCTATCTTTGTACAGGGATTTTGCTGGCGGTGAGCGGAAGATAGTCGCACCGGATCACGTGCTGATAAGTCTGCATTACCCTAGATGCGGTCTACGATGCCCAGGAGAAAATATATATAAAGGAGGTGTAGTATAACTCGAAAGGCTGGCTGCCCATATCTTGTGTAGTATGGCATGGCTAATATATTGTGTTCGAGAAGCAATGGTGGGTGCTGTCAACCGTTCCGCCGTTGAAATCTGTCACTTTGGAGGCTGACATGGTTCCTATTTATAGATCACCACCACCAGTTGGTCTTGCCCGCGCGCCCCTGTCTACAGAACTCTGCAAGCCCCGCTGCCAGAAACTCCAGGATTATCCTTACGCAGCCCTATTCAGATTTGCCTTCCGCAAGACACCCTCTGTTTTTCTTAAATTATCATGGAGAGCCACCATCGCCGCCGCCTGTCGACTTCGCTTCCGCCCATGCACCCCGTACCTCGGCATGTTTTAGAGTAAGCCACTAGTCCAAGTCGGGACTAGTGGCGGGTACCGTCGATGCGGCAACCACGTGACGTCAGGAGAGTAAACAAAGCGCTTTTTCTCCCTTTTGGACGGCGGGTAAAAAGTTCGCGTGAGGAAGACGATAGAAGCGCAACCTAAGAGGCCGGCAAAGGGAGCATCGGACGCGGCTCGCATGCTTCTGGGAGAAAGGTATACTTGGTAATGGACAGCTATTGAGACCAATTCGATACTCGTGAGGTGTCAACGATGCTGAGCTGGTTGGCAGGCTCCAATCAGGGCGTTGCGGGAGGTAAGGCGCCTCACCTCACTTCCCTCATACGAAATATACCTGTCATTTGAACACCATATATTAACCACGAATCTCGATTCAAAGCAGACGAGTCTATGGTACTTGATGCGCCAGAGACACCAGCACCAGTTTTTGCGTATAGAGCTTTTAAAAACGCGATGCTTGGGACTCCTGCCCCCGAGGTGGACGAGGACAAGGACTTAACCATCCCGATACGCCCACTAGACCCGAGTTCTCACAAGAAAAACGATGACCTGAAAAAGGCGGCTCAGAACCTTTCGTCCAGCGAGGACCGAAAAATGGAAATTCCTAAGCTTGAGCCGAAGACACAGGAGCCTGCACATGCAATAACTTCACCCTCAAAGAGTATCCTGCTTACTCCTGGAACTGCCACAACGCGCCGTAAAACGGTGTCTTTTGGGGCTGGTGTTAAGGATAATGAACGCAAACCCGTTTTCCTCGATTATGAGCGGGATTTAGAGCTGAGCGGAGGAAATATCAGCAGCCAATGGTCGATGAGCGTGCCCAGTGGTTCTGGACGCAGGAGCAAATTGACACAGTCTCTACTTGAAGCCCGCGAAGAAAAGTTTGGACAAAAAGTAGATGGCTTTGATGACACTCCTGTCAAGAAAGAAGAGCGCAAAGATACCCACGAAAAAGACGAAGATGAGTACCGTGATTCTGATCAGTCTGAGGAAGAAGAGGAAGACGAGGGAGACGTGACAATTAACCTCGAGGCTCCGCATTCCCAATCCGGAAAATACTGGAAATCAGAATTCGAAAACTACCGGACCAAAACGGAGAAGGAAATACGAAAGCTCATCGAATACCGATCAGTCGCAAAATCTTACGCAAAGAAAAAGGAGACAGAGGCCCTTCGCCTTACTGAGAAACTGAAGCAAGAAGAGCTTAAAGTAGCGGAGATGGAGAGGCGGGTCTCTGAGCTTGCTGCTGGCATGGTTGGGAGTGGCGATGGTGAGAACTCGAACAAGGACCAGATGTTCCGCGAGCTTTCAAGGCAGACTGCTGCCGCACTGCAATATAAACAGAAAACAGCAACTCTCCGAAAAACACTAGAAGATCATGGCATTGTCAATAAGGAGATGTTGGCAGAAGATCTATCAGCAGAAAGAACTGCTGCGAAGCTTCGTGAGGTTGAGGAGGCTCTCTGTGAAGCGAACGCTCGACTACGCGAAAGTGAAAGAAACCCAAAGTTAAAGGAACTACAAGAACTAGTCCGGAGCTCGGAGCGGAAGGCTGCTGAACTGAAAAGAGAGAATCTGTTACTGCAGCGCAATCTTGACAGGGTAAAGACCGAACTTCTACACGTCGGGGAGCGGCGAAAGGCACAGGAAGAGAGAGCGAAGAAGCGTGAAGAGCGACTCGAGTCTCGCGCCCAGGAATATAGTAAGCGCTTGACTGACTCTTTACGGGACCACCAAGCGGCAGAGGAAGCGCTAAGAAAGTCCTTTGACGCCGAGAGGAAACAAATGCAAGAGACTATCGACTTATTGAAAGGAACCTTGGCCTTGCGTTCTGACAACTCACAGCCCCAAACATCCACTCGCTCAACACGACGTGAAGAGATTACGGAAGATATACTTGAGCGGCTTAAAAAAGCTACCAGTAACTACCACGCACGGGTGGATTCCTACGACTCAGGCGACGACCAAGTAGAGATTACCCTCCCAAGTGATAAGGATGTGCTTAATTCGCCCACGAAGTCACTGACTAAATCTCGTGAGAATACCCAAAGTAAAGTTCCTGAAAGTCCGTTCGATGAAGAAACTATAGGTGCTCTATTAAAAACCCTTCGAGGGGGGACTGGTTCACCAACAAAGCAATCTATACAGCAAGGCACATCTGAGCACATTCGTGAGGACACCGAAGCTTCTAATAGCGTTCCTACGGCCAGCGTCCGTCGCAAACTGCAACTCAAATCCGATGCAAAAGCTTCCGGTAATAGTTCAAAGCACTCCGATGAACCGCTCAATCTCGCCGAAGAACTGTTTATTAGACTCGGCGGTTCCGCCCGGAATCTTGAATCACTCCGCCAGAAGGACGGGGATATGACAAACACGACCCTAGGTTCAGTAGGCGATGTGAAGTCTACGCCTCTCTCCAAGCCAGCCGCTAAACAACGAACGTCATATCGCCCTGGTCATTCACCTCGCCCTTCCCTCTCGTATCTAAGCTCCGGCCGTGTAGACAAATTGCCTAAAAGGCCGAAGTCACGAACATCTTCACACCCTGAACGGCACCGGACTACTAATCATTCGGATATAAATCGCCAATCCACCACAAAATCGGATGGTCCTGCTCAATCAAAGTTAGGTTCTATTCCTTCAGACAGACTTGCAGCGGCGAAGGCTAGGCTAAGACAGAGGCAACTTCATGCTAAGGTCGAAGCAGAGGACAAGGAGAATATGCTTTCAGCATAGGGTTCGTCTGTAGCATGAATGATGATTTGGACTTGGCCTTTGGTTATATATTTTTGTACTAGCTTTTTTTGTTCACAAGGCATTGAGCAAGCGGACTTTTTTTACATCCCCTTGAAATCATCGCGAAAATTAATATCTATTAAACACACTCTAGCTCTCCTACTAATAATGTCTCCTATATCCACCTTTCTCTCACTGTTGAGTATGCGTTTATTCCTTTTTCTTCCTGTCGCAAAGTGAAACGACAGCCCATTTCCCGCTCCAGGCCCATTTCCGAGAACCAGAGTCACCTCCCCCATTTGGCATGTTACGCAAGCGCTCATCTTCACCTTTCTCGAGACCAACGACAACGTCAGCCTTACAAGTGCGGAGAGCGAGAACCCTAACCCCTGAACCTTGGCCAAGTGGTCCAATTGCCGTGTCAAAAGGAGTAGTTGGGTCCCAGTGAGCCTAAACAATAAAATTAATATCCGTACTCCAATCATACACTAAAGACATGGAAATGGGCAAGTGGACTTACATCTGCTGTCAATTTTCTATAGTTCAGATCTCCCTTGAAGATGACCAATTCACTTTCCTTTAGATCTTCATAGAGACTAGGGGCCTCATGCGGTAGCCGCCAATAACTTGACGCTGTTGTCCAGAATCGGTTTGGTCTAATAATCAATTGCCCTTCTGCATGGAAGTCACCCCACTGTTGGAACAGATACTTCAATTCATCTACTTCCTTGTCCGTGAGAGGCTGTGGTTTCTTTTCCTCCCCAGTTTCTTCTTCTCCAGTGCTGCTGAAGAAGCTCTGCGGATCAGAAAGAAGGGCGATCAGGTCCCCAAAATCCCGTGGCAGAACATCAGACACAAACCACGGAATTGATTTGGGATGAAGGACAACACATGTTGCCAATCCAGAGGAGAGAAGATAGCCTGCCAGGATGAGGTCAACGAAGAGCTCAAAACCTGCATTGTCCAGAACGATATCTACTCGACGCTCTTCATTTTTTCGTTCCGTTCGGGCCTTGTTTAGAAGTTCAAATGCGGCTGGGAGATCGTTCACCAGAACATTAGCCTCGGCCTTCTTTCGGGCTTCTGCACCTTGAAGCTTTTGGATGTCCTCATATGTAAGAGACGTCAGGAGTGAGAGATCCGTAGCATTTCCCCACAGACAAATTTCACACATTTCCATAAATAGCACTTTATCAGCCTCCTGCTGTTGTTCAGGGGTCATATCATCCCTCTTTGAATGTATCTGCTTTAGATCCTGGGATAAATCTCTGTACCGAGTAGCTAGTTCAAGCACAGCAGGTCTAGAGGATCTAAATGTTGACATCTTTTGCTGTGCAAAGACATCATATTCTTTCCAATGCTTAGAAAGGGCAAACTGGGTGCTCATCCGGCGGTCTTTTCAGTTGTGTTTTCCTATTAGTTGGTGATGCTAAACAATTCAAGGAATTTGGAGCTTCCACGAACATAAGTAGCATTCCGCAAATAACCATGGAGCGTCGAGCCATGAGAGTTCTCCACGATCTGCGAGTTCCTTGTTATAGATGGCAATGTCTGACTCTCCGTCATCGGCGAGAGGGCTGTAGATTAGATCAAGAATTAGCATCCCTCATCGATCAAAGTTGCATTGTAGAAGAAATCAGAGTCAACTAACGTCAATTTCCGGCCGTGCTGAAGTTCATACTTCAGTGCAGCTAGCTCACGAAGTATATCCTTCCCCTCTTTCTGCTTCTCTTCATCTGTTGCCTTGATGACCGAACGGTGAAGGTCGTCGATGGCGCCAGTCTAGGAACAACGCCCAATTAGCCCACTAGTTTAGGCACTTGCAGGGTAGTAGGTAAGGAACATCTCACTAGAATAACAGGCCATCTTTCCAAAGCGGAGATGTATGCGAATGTCTTCTTGTCTGATGTGCAGACGGGTGCTAATATTCGGCGGGCGTGTTAGCTTCGGCATCCACGGCTTGACAACCCCGCCAACACGAATAGAGGGCTTTAATGGTTAGGCCGGGTCGCGCAGGCCTTGAGAGAAGCGCTGAATTGGTGTTAATTAGAGGGCGCTTACGGGTTTTGGTATCGAATTCCATCTTCAAAGTTGGTATACGGTGTTGGGGTTAGAAGCATGCAGTTGAGTGAGCTCGACCAAAGCTACTTGCGATGTTTGATGTCCCACCAAAGCTAAACTTAGTAACACCCCACGCGGAATTATCCCGGAGATAAGATGTTATCAAACAGGTACCTAACTTAAAGGATAGGCAAAAAAAGCATTAGGATCTAAAAATTAGACACTATCGGTGGTACAAATGAAGATATCCAGGGTGCCAATGTAAGTTTGAACTACAGGAAGATAGCTAACCCAAGGCATTATTTTGTTACAGATTGCATCTCCAATGTACTTCAGATTCTTTTACAAAAACGCCTGTGCTCTACCGCGCGGTGAAATCATAAGGGGTACGAGGTTCGTCAATCGTAGATTCGGGGGAATGAAGTGCGATTCGGGTAAAATGACCCACGGTGATGTGGGTAATGCCTGTTGGGTAGGAAGAGCGGTGGTAATCCTAAGGTCTATAATTCGACCTTAAAGGCATGGATACGCGGCCAGTCAAATAGAGCGTAACCAGCCCCTTTACCCAGGCTACCGTCATGTTGTATGGGATCTACGTCCCTAATGGATTGTGGTGGCAACTCGGCTTGTAAATTTAACTACATCAGGGACATGATGGAGTTACTGGCGTAAGCCTGGAAGTGAAGTTAGTAAGAACTAGTAGTCATAAGCAACTGAAAGGTAAACGTACCATTGGTTTGATGCTTGGATGTGGGACAGCGTCGAATTTGTGGAAATCGAGCTTGAGTTCAGGCCCAATGTTGATATATGCACCCTTATTTTCAGTGCTGTCACAGTATTTAGGAGCAGAGAAGACTATCACAATAATTAGCAAAGCCTCTCTAGCGCATACAAAGCGATTAGACTTACCGGTGATACATCTTCCATCGTGTTCAACTTCATAGCCCTCCATACGCACTTCGTGACTTCGAATAATAGCCTCAAGGCCATTCTTTTCGCAGAACCGCTTGGTGACGTCTGGACCAAACTGCATACCAACACCCCTCTTGCTCGGTCCTCTGCCCGGTAGAGTCTGAGGATCAGTCCAGAGCATTTCCATCATCAGACCGGATTGGCCTGGCTGGCGCTGGTTATGCCTGTTCAGGGCTCTGATATCCGCCAAGGAGATGTTATCATCGGAGAATAAGCCACCGTGAAGTACTAGGTACTTTTGTCCTATCAGTGTTGCAAGGGCAAGTGCACTGAAGGATTCAGAGAAGACCTTGAACAGACGCTCGGAGTATTTGGCTTTGCATTCTCCTTCAAAGCCATAAGCGCGGTTCATATCATCGGTTTCATGATTTCCACGATTAAGGAAGAAAGAGTTAGGACGCATCCATTTGTAGGCGTAAAGAAGGAGGGCGATTTCACAAGACCAGCTACCACGGTCAACAAAATCACCATTAAAGAGATAGTAGTGGGTATCAGATGGGAAACCATTAAGGCGGAATATTTCCAGAAGGTCAAAGAATTGGCCTGTAGGCAAATTGTTAACAGAAAAGAATTTGTGAAAGCGTCGTTAAGGGTGGAATTTAAGCTTACCATGGGTGTCTCCACAAACAGTTAATTTGGAGCCTTTTTCAACGCCGATTTCAACCATAGTAGGCTCATTGTATACGATATCCCGCACAGCTTTCACTATCTGGAACGCATACTTTTTATGTATCTGCTTTCCATTCTTGAATCGGTTTATCATGTCATCAATGAACTCCTGGGTCATTTTATCCTCCAATCGTACACCGTCATAGCTATCATCCACGACCATTGATTCAATATTAAGTCCCTCAAATGCTGACGGTGGATCGGCAACTTCAATAGCTTTCTCAAATTCAATCCGCCGCACGAGCTTCTCGCACTCTGCTAACTTGAGCTTCGCATCACGGTCGTTGGGGGCTTTTTTCACAACGGTCTTGAAGTCATTAAGGGCAGCGCGGGAATTGAGAATAGCGGTGTTGGCGACAGCTCTACGCCAGTATGCCTGGTCTCTGGTTAGCGGGCTGAAGGCGTTACGCGGTACTACAGTCCAAACAAGGGTTTTCTTCTGTATACCTTGACATATGAAGGATCTAGTTCAATAGCCTTGGTAGCATCCGCAATTGCAAATCCAAAGGCTTCCAACTTAACATGTACCTAGAGGGGAAAAATAAGAGTTAACTTGCTGGACCTAAAAACCGTATGAGATCACTGTCTACGTGATTTGCTACTTGATACAACCGGTAAGTGAGGTATATACCTGTGCTCTGTTACAGTAGAACGACGGCTCTTTATCATACAGCTCGATAGCCTGTGTGTAGAGATCTAGAGCCGCAGGCCAGTTCTGCTGTGCAAAGCACTTGTTGCCTTGCAGCTTGAGGGCTGTAGCAGCCTCAATATCGGATTGAGACATGGGGCTAAAGTGATTTGTAGCGGGACGAATGTGGGGTTTCTGTAGATAAATGTGCAGATACGTGGGTGACGGTACTTGAGTGGGTTGAACAACAAAAGGAAAAGGCGGTGTCGCTATCGTCCTGCTCTATATCGCACGGCCGGAATCAAAACTGCACATCCAGAAGGCGAGCGAGTGCGATATCGAAAGGTCGAGAAGTTCACGAAGACAAAAAAAAGTCAACCGGCAACCGGGGAAAGATAAGCTTTGGCCCTTGTTAATAAGCATGATCACGTAATAAGGAATGAAATTAGTCATCAAATGCTTAAACTTTGATAAAGATGACGGAGATCATGAACATTCGGGAGACGACGAAAGTCAGGACGAGAGGAAGAAGAGAGGTCAAGAGTCGGCACTTATAAGATGGCATCCGGGTCCTTCTACGTCTCGGCGAACCAGCAGCGCTCTCTGCGCGCATGCATGGTTTGCTCTATTGTCCAGCTACACAACGTACCTCGGTCCCCTCCCAGCTCCCTCATACCTCTCCCGGAACACAGAGCTAACGAGATATCTCATAGAAATTCATGAACGAAGGCTGCCCAAACTGCGAAGCCGTGCTGAACCTCCGCGGAAACTCGGAAGCGATACAAGATTGTACCTCTCAGGTCTTTGAAGGATTGGTTGCCTTGGCTGACGAGCGCACTTCGTGGGTAGCTCGTTGGCAGAGACTGGACGGGTATGTTCCTGGAACATACGCCGTGAAGGTTGTGGGATCGGTGAGTGTGGATATTACTCTCCTGTTGGATTTCTAGCAGATGGGCTAATCGGGATGGATTATAGCTACCGCCTGAGGTATTGAGTGACTTGGAAGACGCGGGGATAACCTATATTCCGTATGTGATAAGACTGTACTCTTAAAAAAAAGATTGAGACTAACTGGTGTTTTTAGGAGAGATGGGAGTGCCGCCGATAACGACGGTTAAAATTGATTTATACACACTAGCTCATGGGTTTGATTCAAGGGGTTCGGTGCTATTATTTGGTTTACTGGCTGGTAGCAAGGCGAAGGCGTTCATAGTGCCTTTAGTGTTCAGACATAAATTTTTCTGGGGACTTCTACATACGTAATAAAATAAATCATAGAGCAGAAGTTCATCGGGAGAACAAAACAAATAAATTTACTGCAGCAAGTAAGAAGCATGCTGGAAGTTCATGTTAGGCTCGTGAAACATCTCTAAAGCTAAGCTAGGGATCGTATTTCTCCCTGAAATGACCCAAACGTGCAAATTTGCACATAAAAAAACCAGAAGAAAAAGATGAAACATAACAATCGAAGCGATAATACGGCACTCTTCATGACTTGACAATCTTCTCGAGAGATTCGAGGAGAATATCAGCATGGTGCTTCTGGAAGACCAGCATGGGTCTCAGCCTGACGGCCGACTCGCCGCATCCACCGATGTTGATGCCGACCTCCTTACCACGCTTTAGCACTGCATCACGCTGAGGGCTGTCCCATGAGATGAAGGTGCCTTGTCCCTTTCCACGTAGATTATTGAATTGGCCGGGGTACTTCTCGGCCAGGCGCTCAAGACCAGCAAAGAGATAGTCACCTGTCTGTGCGGTGTGCCTGACGAGATCCAGACGCTCAATCTCCTCGATTATGGCACGGAAGATGAGAGCACGAGCTGGGTCACCCATCCATGTATTGAACTGTCTGTATGGCTTGTTAGGTCTCAGAGCTGGGTTGCCGAAATAGTAACCGGCGGCCTGTGCCTTTTTGGAGAAGGTGACAATGTCTGGTGGAGTGGATAGGTTCCAGTGCTCGTGAGCCCAGAATTTACCAGTTGCACCGACACCGGTCTGAACTTCGTCGACAATCAAGAGGACGTTGTTGCGCTTGGTGATTTCACGGAGACCCTGGAAGAAGGCTGCGGAGGCGTGGTTGTCTCCACCCTCAGACTGGACTGGTTCAACAACAACAGCAGTGACAGGGTTGTGGAACTCCTTGATCAGCCTCTCAACTTCCTCAAGGCAGCGTTTCTCCTCTGCGGCATTCTCAGCAGCGAATTGATCGAGTGGGTACTTGAGTTGAGGGAAAGGAGCACGGGGCCAGTCAAAGGCCGGGATATCAAGCTTGTGGATGGCCTTGCTGCGGGTGGTGGAAAGAGAGCCGAAGAGGCGGCCGTGGAACGCGGAAGTGAATGACATGATGGAGTAGTTGGGGGAGCCAGGAGCTTGGTTTACCATAGTGGAAGAGATGTCCTCGGAGGAAAACTCTACATCAGGACCACCACGCTGACGTTGAGCATAGTACATGAAAGCCGCCTTGTAGGCAGTCTCATTGGCATCAGAGCCGGTAGTAGAGGTAAACACCTGGTCAAGGCCCTTTGGGGCAACTCGCAAGAGACCGGACTCGAGGATGCTTGCCCAGTTGTGAGAGGGGAAGTTGCCGAGTGCTGGGCGATTGATGAGGGCACTGGCCATATCGGTAGTCTTGGTGGCAGCAAGCAATGCGGGGTTGTTATATCCCACTGGGATAGAAGCAATCTGGGCAAACCTGCAGGAGCCGTCAGTTAGCCGGGAAAATAAGGGTATCTCAGCTCGACCGGAGAAACACGTACACATCAAGCAAGACGTTTCCATCCAAGTCTGCAATGCTACACCAAGCGTGTCTGTCAGTGGTTCCGTCCAATTGGCCCGTAAACAGTGTAATTGAGGGAGCTATAGCGTACTAGTTTCCGGTGGACTTTTGGTAGTCAACCAGCATATTCAAGCTCCTAGTATCGAAGACGCGGTCAAGCTGGGAGATGGCCTCCTTGCTCTTTGGTCCCGGGATGGCAGTCTTTACAGTCGGACCAGCCGGCTCGTTGGTGAAGAAAGCAGAGGCAGCGGCATGCCTCGGGGTCGAGCTAAAGCATCTGGCCTGGACAGCAGCCCTGACGCCGGCTCTGGAACGTAGAATGGAAGCCATCGTAGACACACGCTGAAGAAAAGAAGAGCTCAGGATGCAAAGAATGGAAGAGTCGCCCGGCAGCGGGTGAGGGCGGGCTTTAATTAAAATAAGTCTGGGACAAGACCAGAGACAAGCGCCGGCTATTCAAGCTGGTGGTGCCTTTTTGTTGTTGATGTTGTTCTTGTTGAGCTGTCTAGCTTCCCCCCGCATGACGAGGTGTCCGGCTTTTCTTCGGCCGAGCCGCCCAATCAGGGGTCAGGCGCTAGTCCCGATGCGGAGGAAACTTCCCGCCACGATAAGATAAGAATGCTTATGTCATCAGGGACCGGCCCGGCGTCGGAGTTACCGAAAAGGGAAGGGAGGGGTGGATGGAAGTCGCGACTTCCCAAAGAAGTTGAGAATGACAACGACATTCCATCTAAGATGGAATCTGAGATGGCAATCTGAGAAGAGACATGAAGGGAGACATGGAGTGGTATCTAGGACGTCTGGATACGCTGGTGGCAACAAGTACGTGTTGGAAGTGTCGAAAACAGTGGCCAGACCGAAGGCGTTGCAACCGTGGCTGATCTAGCGGGCGGGCTCGACAGCTAGGCTAGTGTCTCGTCGGCTCTTCGGTGCTTGGGTGCTTGGAGCGGTGCTTGGAGTGATGCTTGACTCCATCAATCTACACGAAGAATAATGGGGTATGGACACCGTACGGATCAGGTTATGTGCATAGGACACGCCCTTTGACACCAGTAAGAAAGCCTAGAGCCGGATCAGAGAGGGGATCTCGTGAGTTGTGATGTTAGTTAATGTTGGGCAGTGATGCGGTTCAGCGGGTATCAGAGGCGCCGCTCCTCTCTTTCTGACTCCCTCTTTCTCGTTCTCTCTCCCTCAGGCTGTTCTGCACCGCAGTCAGGCTTAGCTAGTTAGCTGGCATCCAATACAACAAGCACGAGAATGAATGCTAAGATCGACGTGTTCATGTTTATTTTATGAGCAGGATATGGAGAAAGGTTCGTTCGACTGCCTCAAGCAGCAGGAGACATAAATCTTAGGGGCCATCTTTCACTAATAAAATAACACAGATGCAAGATACATCTTCACCAGGTCCACAAAGTCGCTAAATGTCACCACTAAACAGAGCGATGAGGTGTTGATCGCTGGTCAAACAATATCTTGTCGAGTTTTCTTCTGCCACATGCCCGGCTCCTTTTAACTGGTTAGTTCCTCATGCTTGTCGCATCTTCAGCCTTGAAGTAGGGGCAGGTCCCCTTGGGCCTGGCAGCGAATCAAGACGTCAGCCTTCCTGGTCCAAACGTCCTTGCCTCTCCCTGGTTCGCTGGCTCTTTTCTTCTTTCTTCAAATCCCTTGCAATCCTTCAGCCTGCATAAGCACCACTCGACCCCCTCTGACACATCCAAGGCATGGTCGATGAACCTTGTCGCTGATGACAAAACGTCGACCTTAGGCTTGGACTAACGCTCAACTAAACGACTAAACGGCAATTTTTACATTATTCATACATATGGGAGGCTCCGGATGGCCGAAGATAAGGGGAAGGATTTGAACTTCACTTTTTTCGCTTTCCTTTTTCTTTCCCAACATGCCTCGAGATTGTTAGTGATATCACAGCAGCAGAGGATATGCGCTCTGTCTCCTGCCAAAACATAAGGTTGCCTAAACGGCCCGGCGGAGTAAATTATCCTTAATTTACTCTATTTATTTATAGGTACTTTCGATGGAGTACTCCGTACCAACAGAGACATTTTGTACAGCATCTTCCACCAGAGAACCCACTCGCCATATCCTGATCGCCACGATTTTCAATGATAGCCAGGCAAGAGAAAGATGAAAAATGGTGAATCAGGCTGCTTGGGGGCTAAGTTGCATGTGCGGCAGGGCCCGAGGCATTTTGTGACGCCTGCAACGTGTTGTTTCACCTTCTCCCGCCGTCCTAACAGGGGACAAGCAACCTTCTGCTTGTTAGCGCCCTTCGGTGGGCCATCGCCATTCATTCCAGGCCTTCAGGGGATCCAGAAAATATTTCTTGAATTGATCCTTCCACTCTCTCCTTTTTTTTTCCTCTTCGTGTTGTTTTCCCCAATCCCGCTTGCTATCTCCTTTTGTTTGTTGCGATACGGAGTAGATCTTCACTCTTTCGTTCTTTACGAGCATTTGTCCTTCTTTTTTCTGAACATTATATACCATTGTCTATCCTTTATCAAATCTACCCTGCATCTATATACTCCATCTCGTACTCCATCCGTTAATTGCTGATATGAGCGACGAGATTTCCCACAAGCAGGAGCCGGCTCCTCAACCCCAGAATCTTCGAGCTCAGAGCAAGGCATCCAGCATGGAGACCAAATGTGAACCACCAAAGACCGGTCAATCCACTCCTTCAAAGATCACCCCTAGACCTACATATATCAGTGGTGCAGCAGCTGCCTCAGACCTCAAGCTACCCCAGCAGATGCTCTCGAAGAGAAACACAATTGATATAAACGACTATTTCGTCAGTGGCCCTTTTATTCTTCCTCCGTTTTCCCGCCATGGCGGTAAAAATGGACATTCGGCTAACTGTGTCGAACTTGTAGAAAGGGCCTAGGAATCTCGATAGGCATTCGAAATGGCCCCTATTCCTCCGAGTTCATGGCAGTGTCATGCCACGAATGATTATCCCACTGCTAATGATGGCTTGCTGGTCAACTCTCATTACATGTGTAACTCGCTTGGGTGGCGTTCCTCGTATGTTGAACCTCCATGTATCAGATGAATACATGAAGAGCAACGTGGTCTAACGCTCTCCAGTCGGCATTGATTCAACTCTCCTTACTGTTCTCGGTTTCGTCGTCGGTCTTGCTCTCTCCCTCCGAAGTTCGACTGCCTATGAACGGTATGATGGACCCTGGTGACCTCATGCTAGGCTGTGATCAGGCTAACATTTGTTCACTTTCAGTTATGGTGAAGGTCGCAAGTACTGGGCATCTCTGATGCAAAATTCCCGCACTTTGGCCCGTATCATCTGGATTCATAAGACCGAGCGCGAAGGTGAAGAAGGAAAGGAGGATATCATCTCCAAGCTGTGAGTCCGGTCAACAGTTATGTCATTCTAGCTCTTGTTCATTTACTGACTACTCTTTAGAACTGGAATCAACCTCATCGTGGCTTTCGCTGTTGCCCTCAAGCATAAACTGCGTTTCGAGCCTGGTAGCGGCTATGAGGATATCTCCGGCCTTATTGATCACCTTGATACCTTTGCCAAAGCTGCCAACGACCCAAATGCGGCATCAGGGAAGAAGCCAGGCATGATGAAAGCTCTTGGCCAATACTTAAGTATTCCAATGGCCATGTCCAACCCACGCAAGCAGATTAAGCGCTCCGATAAACCTCTCGGAAACTTGCCGGCCGAGATTCTCAATTACCTGTCCGCTTATATCCACGAGTCGTTGATTAACGGTTCGATTCCCATGCCTGTACATCAGTCGCAAGCTGGTGCTTGTCTCAACGCCTTGGAAGAAGTTATGACCGGCAACGAGCGTGTGCTTAACACTCCCCTTCCATTGGCGTACACCATCTTGATTTCTCAAATCACTTGGCTCTACGTTCTCGCCCTGCCCTTCCAGCTCGTCAACAAACTTGAATGGGTTGCCATCCCTGGAACTATCGGTAAGTGTTCCCAACTTTTCTTAATCGTCCATCTCCATACTAATGTGTAATAGCTGCTACCTACATCATCCACGGCATTGCCTCCATCTGTGCTGAAATCGAAAACCCCTTCGGCGATGACGTCAATGATCTTCCCCTTGATGTCTTCTGCCAACAACTGGCAGCTGACCTTGATATCATCACCTCCACTCCTCCAGCTAAGGCAGACGACTTCATCAACCGCGAGCACAACTATGTTCTCTACCCACTCAGCAAGAGCAGTGTTAACATGTGGAAGGACCGCAGTGTGGAGGATATCCGCGCTGCTCTCAAGGCCAAAGCCACACTTACCCCTGCCAGACTCAACGAGGCTGGATCAAGAGACATAGCGTTGGCCGTGAAGGGCCAAGATGAATCCATTGCATGAAATAGCATCCCAGATATGACGCGGAATCCACGGTGATAGGAGTGTGGTAGAGTTGCTCCCACTCTCCTTTACATAGACATATGCCCTTTCGAAAAAAGTCTCCCCCCCTTCCCCCCAGGAAAAAATCCCACTGCCTTTGGTCCAACATATTTTGCTCTCCTAGCCCTTGTTTCCTATCCATATACCGTTATTGCTAATTACCACTACCGTTACTCGGCATCAGTTCTTTGCTTTCATTTTTGGCTTTTATATAGCGTGGGAGTTGTGCATGTTGTTGAATGCTCTTTTTTTTCAGGTCTATCTTGATCTATTCGTCACTGTCCTGTCGGGTGTTTCAAAATTATATACAGCGAAACAAAATAGTCTGCCAAATTGTCCTTGTGAATGGATATTCAATGTCTGGAATCTAGGATAGTAATTCGCCATGAAACTTTGTAGATATCCGATGAAAAATTATTATCTTCAGCACTCTGTGCTGAAATGATTCACTATGTGCACTAGAAGGTGTTTCTGCGTACCCACTATAGATGGGGAGGGGGCCTGCAGAGTGCCTCCCGAGACCCATGGCAAGCTATGTATCTCCCGCCGAAAGTGTTTGTCAACCGTCCTTCTCAAATTATACTTCCCTTGCTTCATCAGAAGCCTCAGTATCAGGCCTCAGGGAATGAAGAGCTCCTTCCCACTGCCTCCAACAAGCGCACCGAGATGAGAACGCCTCGATACGACTCTCCATGCTACGTTTGATGACCCAGATCCGGAATCAGCGCCAATCCAGGAACTCATCGCCGCAGTGACAGCAGCAGCATCGTCATACGGTACCCGAATCCAGACAGATTTGCCGTCCGATTGGCCTAATCTGTTACCTATCTTCAAAATATCAACGGGTATAGCGGTACCGGACAGTCCAAGATACTGAGATAGGGCCGCAGTCAGATAGGTTTTGGCCGTGAGGGGG